AACGCAGCATTTGCATAGCCATGTAACACCTAGCGCGAGCAGCGGGAGTGCACAATGTGAAGATACCTTTGCTGGGTAAATGATTATAGGTTTGTATATCTATGAGGTGCTTATGAATGATCAGGAATAAATTGCATGCTTTAGCGTGTAAATCGAAGGATAAAACAACAAATTTTTCGAGATACATATATTCAAAACTGAAAATGGAAATTCATTTTATCGATTTTTTGCAAATTAATAAAACTGATATATAAATTATATCTGATTTGAAAAATCCATCTTGCGAAAATGATTTCATATTCTGTTAATAATTTCCTTATGTATGGATATTTGTTCACTGTATCGATAAGTTATCGATAAATTGAATGCAATTGCAGTAGAATCTATGAAAATCGACATCCAATTTCATTTAATTTTCCTTCCCCTCTTATAACTTAACTAATATACCCATTTAATTCACTTCCAATAGAATTCCGTATGTAAAATATTATATAAATAATTTTAGTTATTTGCACTTTATTTAGATTACCATATACACTAACCATAGTAGAGCCTTGAAACTGACTTTGCATTAATCACAGATATGTATTAAAATCCATGAAAAAGTTTGCAATGCGCCTAAACCGCAAAAATTGCAAATGCCAAATGCCAAATAGTAAATGTGAAATGCATTGCGATAATTTTTGCTTGGCGTTAGTGAACTGAACGACAAAACCTTTAAAATGAGTGTTAAATATTAAATGTGAAATGCAAAAACAATGCCATTTACAACATTTTATGCAACCTAATGGCCGTCACATTCCAAAATGGCGCTGCGTCCGGAGACAAAATGGCGAATGCAACGGGAAACGAGCAGCGGGCAGCGGGCAGCGGGCAGCGAACGAGCGTGACCTTGTACAAAAATGGCAAGGCAATAATAAATGGTTCTTCTTCTGCCAACAACACATGCTGAGCGAATCTTCAGAGTTCGCCACCCAAAACAAAACGAGAAAGAAGAAAATGAAACCTGTAAACAGGATGCCAAGAAAACAGGGTGCTTCAGCTAATAAGCAGGATAATTGGCTTCGGCTTAACTCGAGTGCCTGAAATGTAAAACAAAATCAGTATGAAGAGCATATCATCTGAGAGAGAGATAGAGAGAGAGAGAGAGAGAGAGAGAGAGAGCGAGAGGGAGAGAACAATATATGCACTTTAAATTAATTGCCTATTGAAATATCTATATGTACTCGTATTTATAAATGTATGTAGGTATTTTGAATTATCTGAGCTAGCATTAGCTTCAAATAAATATTAATTCTGTCATTATGTCAATAAATCAGTAAGTAGCTCTTCATCCATTAAAAGGAAAATGTCCTCTGCTGACTTACACTCTGCTTCAAGTTCAAGTTCAAGTCACCCATTCTTCTTTCACACTCCAAACCGGGTATATTAATTTACTTATACTACGTCTTTTACCCCTTATATATGAACTCCAGTTTATGCTATTATAAATAAAATATGAAATATGAATATATAAATATATAAGTTTGTTCTACAATATAATATAACACTCTCTAAATTATTATTATATCATTATTAATAATCTTCTATGTTAATTTAACATTAATACCTTCCCTTAGCACATATAGTTTATCTATTCCTTATACAACCCTCTAGCATCCACCTCTCAGCTGTAGGATATATAAATGTGAAATTGGCTTAAATTGACAGTTCGAATTGCAATTGAAGGGTCGCAAGACGCAGAAAAGTTTAATAGAAAAGAAGAAAAGCAAAAATGAAAAATCATTCCGAAACTTTGCACTATTTTGACATGCTGTGTGCTTTAAAACTTTGACGCGTCGATTTTTCAGCTCTAGAAAAAAAAAAAATTGGAAAAATCAGAAAACTATTTGCGACTTATCGCCGAAAAAAGATGGGCCATTGAATAAATATCAAAGCAAATGGTCATAAATATTTCTGATCGGCTTTTCATGCCCGTCTCTTTTTCTATTCTATTCTTTTTTCATCTTTTGTTGTTGTGTTTTGCGGCCACAATATTTTTTTATGGTACTTTTGCACATGGCGCAGCAAACCGAAAAAAGCAAGAACGGAAATGATTATTTTTAGAGAGATGCGAGCGAGACACGTTAAAATCATTTATGCCGCTTAAAAAGCCACAAATGTCGGCTGGTATCCCGGCTGGCTTCCCAGTTGCCCAGCTGCCCGGTTGCCCGGCTACCCGGCTACTCGTCTGACAGCTGAGCAATGTGGATTTTCTGTTGTTTCGTTTTTGTTTTGCAAAAGGGATTTGCACGGCTGTAAAGCGAACGCTGAAAAGTGCGAGCAACAATACTCGTATATAACGCATACGCCGCGTATTCCTTTTTTACGACGATAGAAAACGCGACGCGAGCAGCTTTACGATGCCCGCATCATTTGATTTTATTGCAAATGGGCAGAAGAGCAACTCGCAAGTGAAAAAAAAAAAAAGAAGCAAGAGAAACAGAAAAGCAAAAATCATAAAGCAAATCAGAAAAACAAAAAAAGAAAGAGTTGTTTAGCTTTGAGATTGTTTGCCTAGAGAACACTCTCATTGTATACCAAAATAAGATATAAATCATACAATATAAATATAAAGATATAAATCTTCAAATTTATTTGATATATATTTTTAGTATAAGTGATATAACTGTAAAATATATAAGGGAACATTATATTAAAATTATACCCTAAATTCACAATTTCGATAATTGTAATGCAATAGATCTATCGATTCCCTCCATCTACTCTTAATTATCTACATCTTAATGTCGAATATACTTTATAAACTAGATCTACATATATATCTTCTATGCAGAGCATACAAAGTAAATCAATTTTCGATTGTTCCGTGTCATGTGGCTCGGTTTCGGTGGCGTCTGAGCAATGCGAACGTTGGCCCTGTCCTTGAGCCAGTTGTGCGGCCATTTGTTTGTGATTAATGCGATGATTGCGACAATGGCGCGAATGCAGCGATGCACAGCACGTCGAATGCAAATAACCGGCGGCCTGAATATAATCAAATCGAAAATGGCAACAACATCAAAGTTGACGACAGCGACGGAAGCTGCGACAGCGAGTGAAACAAAACACAGAGCCGAGCGCCCAAGGGCTGACGGCTGATGCAAGGAGGCAAAGGACGACGAGGATGCGTGTGCCAAGGCCAGACGAATATCAATTAAATTATGGAAGGTGCAAAGCTCTTCAATTGCTGCAGCTGCCACCTGCGTCTACTACCCGAAGGCTTAGCAAATATTCGCATGTTTCTCGTTTTTATTGACATTTTCTATTTGCCACCGGACAGGAGTTGGCAAAGGACATGGCTGGGCGGCAAGGCAGCCGAAACAGACGAAACATAAAAACCAAATTCGACAGGTTATTTCTATTTCTGACAAAATATTGCAGACTTTGGCATATCACATTGGGATAGGGCGGATACATTTACATATATTCGGAAAATAGGTTAGGGAAGCGCATTTCCAGTTGCATAGCAAATAGGCAAACTTGAAAGGATAGAGAGAGAGAGAGAGGGAGTAAGAGAGAAGACATAGTTGGTCGAAGGACCAACCAATACATAGAGAGAGAGAGAGAGAGGGAGTAAGAGAGAAGATATAGTTGGTCGGAGGAAAAAGGAAGATAGAAATATACGGCCTACAGTAATTGTCTAGGGAAACACTAGAGAGTGAAAGAGAGAGAGAGAGAGAGTGAGAGAGAGAGTGATGCAGGAAGGGAGAGAGAAATACAATAAAAAAAATTGCGTGACAGATGACCTCTCTCGGTAGGCAATCATATGTACATGTTGGGATAGAGATGAGCATAAGCAGTAAGAGAGAAAGCGAGAGAGAGAGAGAGAGAGAATATACATTGTGTAGCGGATATAAATTAGAAGTCGAAGGAGATGGAAATATATGTATAATATACATATATANATATAAAAGCAATTACCTGCGCAAATAAGTAAAACGAGAGAGTAAAACAGGAGAGACAAGAATAAAAATAGCGTGACAAATTATAAGTGTATCAAGAAGATGATAGTTGGATGGAATAATACAAATCGGAGCTGAGAGACAGAGAGAGAGAGAGAGAGAGAGAGAGAGAGAGAGAGAGATGGAGATGGAGACAGAGAGATAAGAATAAAAAACATGGTGTTACAAATCGGGACTGAGGTGAGGTCTTTCTAACTCGCACGATTTATTCATGCATATAATAAAGAAAGAGAAGAGAGTAACGTGAAAGAGAGAAGACGAACAGAAAAGTAAAGACCGAGAGTTCCGTGATATACGAACTTCTTTATAAATCGACCAACCAATGAAGAGTAGTGAGAGGCAGAGTATTAAAATTCCACTACATGGACATAGCCGGAGATTAAAAACACAGAACAGCATTCACAAAAAGCAATAAAGAAATCAAAGAGCGCCTGCCATGTATATGTACTCATGTCTCTAAATACATTTGATATAATAAAAGAACTTACAGGCGCCATATATTAATTGTATTCGGAATTTAAAAAAAAAAAGCGAAAAAAATGGTAGGCCACATTTTTATCTTGACTTAAATACATACATAGGTTTTTTATAGCACAACATTTTAATCAAATTTAATTTCACCACTTTGCGGTTCTTATTGAACGCACTTCACCGATACTTGTGGCGGTCGCGCAATAAACGATAGTTTCGATCGATACTCTTTGAAATTATTCAATTACGAAATATTATATCGCCATCATTTCACATTTGGATTGTAAATATCGATAAGCTAAAGCATAGCAACTGACCAAACTATAAACTCAACTAAAAAATATGACAAAGTCACTTCTTATTTTCCATACATTGCCCATAGCATGAAAACTTACATAGATTAAACGAATTAAATTAAAATCATAAATTTTACTATAGTAAATATTGAACCCATTCAAAAAGTGCGCGCCAATTTTCGATAACAAACAGCTGTTTCCCTATTCCATGCCGTAACAGCCCTGTTTTTGTCTTGTTTTCTACTTGGCCAAAGATTAACTCATTCGTAAATTTAAAAGTAAATAAGAGTTTGTGGGTTTGAAATGTCAGTCTGCACAGCAGATGAGATTGCAGAGAAGCGGCGCATCGCACTAGCCAAGCTGCAGGCTAAGAAAAACCAAGCACCAGCCGTAAATTCAAACACAAAGCCCGCCACAAATGTCAACGAACAATTGGGCGCAAAATCCGCGTCGAGATTTTACAATTCGCCGCCTCAAAACAATACGAAAACAGTAAATAATAATAACAACAATGTTAGCCAAAACAAGAGCTCATCCTTTCTGAATGCGCTCAAAGCCATAAAGACCACGAGTGCGCGTGAATTAGGCCGCGTCGCCGCTCATCCATACCAGCGCCCCAATGGAGGAAGCAAACCCACACTCTGCCTGAGTCCGGAGAAGGAACAGCCGCAGCAGCAGCTGGCGTCTGTTTTTACAAAGTCGATTAGTTGTAAAGTGTATTTGATAAGCCCTCAACGTTTCGCTGTTGTGCCTTCCGGCTACCATCAGCAGTTAATTGAAGTCTTTAAGAACATTCCGAGTAAATCGTATGATCCACAAACCCGTAACTGGGATTTCGATCTCAAGGATTACCAGCTGCTGCAGCAGCATGTAGGAGATCTTAAACCGAATGTGGTGATTGGCACGATACCCAAGAAAGTCATTGATCTCTGCAAGCAGCCGGCGAAGCCCTTGGAGAGGAGTGTCTTGGCCTCCATTGAGCCAAAGCTGGCCGAGAAGCTGATGCCCTTCCAGGAGGAGGGCGTGTGGTAAGAAAGCTTCGCTCCAACTGCAAACATTTTCATTTGATAGACTTTCACTCTCGCAGCTTCTCCATAGCTCAGCAGGGACGCGTGATGATCTGCGATGAAATGGGCCTGGGCAAGACTTATCAGGCGCTAGCAGTAGCAGACTACTTCAGGGAGGATTGGCCTTTGCTCATCTGCACGACGGCCAGCACACGCGACGCCTGGGCCATGCATATAACAGAACTCCTGCCCTCTGTGCCGGTTCACTGCATCCAGCTGCTGACCAACAGCAATATGTATGTGGTGGATGCCAAGATTCTGATCACCAGCTACAACATGATGGAGCGCTATATGGATAAGCTATTAGAGCGCAAGTTCGGCTGCGTCATCTACGACGAATCGCACACGCTGAAGAATGGCAAAGCCAAGTGCACAGCCGTGGCCAAGCGGCTGGCCGATCAGGCTAAGCGCGTAATCCTGCTCTCTGGCACTCCGGCTCTCTCCCGTCCCCTGGAGCTCTTCACACAGATTCAGCTCGTGGACAGTCGCTTTATGAACTTCATGGAGTACAGTGAGTCTAGAGAGAGTCTTTATTTAATTGTAGATCTCTTTTGTAATAGACTTCTATCGTTGGCAGCCTCTCGCTATTGTGATGGCAAGCAAAGCCATTTCGGCTGGGATGCCAACGGACAATCGAATCTGGACGAGCTAAAGGTCGTCCTGAAACTCAAATATATGCTCAGGCGCACCAAGGCGGAGGTGCTGCCACAGTTGGCAGAGAAGAATCGGTAGGAAATGGGTTAAAATCTTGGACTCCTCTATATTTATATTATATCTGTTTAATCTATGATTACTTTTGCAGCGAAACAGTTGTGCTCGATCCCGCTTTGGTTTGGACAAACGATGCTGCAAAGAGCTCTTGCACGGAGCTCAACAACGAGCTCCAAAAGGCCAAAGGCAAGTCGCGCGAGGAGGTGCTCCTGCGTTTCTATGCGCGCACGGCGGAGGTGAAAACGAAGGCTGTTTGGTAAATAGGGACAAGTTTAATATCAGCTTATAATTGCAACTAATCCATCCATGCTCGCCCATTGTAGCGCATATTTAAAAACGTTGATCAAGGAAAAGCTAAAGTTCATCATCTTTGCACATCATCGCATTATGATGGATGCGATATGTGATGCTCTGCGATCCCTTAAAGTTTCCTTCATACGCATCGATGGGCAAACGCGCAGCGATGTCCGAGCCGGCTATGTGGACACCTTCCAGAAATCGAGCAGCTGCAGGGCGGCTGTCCTGTCGCTCAAGGCCTGCAACTCGGGCATAACGCTGACGGCAGCGGAAATTATTGTATTTGCAGAGCTCGATTGGAATCCTAGCGTAGGTCCAATCAACAGTTCATTGTACCTTATGCCTTATGTCATCTGCTTGCTTATAGACCCTGGCGCAGGCGGAGAGTCGCGCGCATCGCATTGGCCAAACGAAGCCAGTGGTCTGTCGCTATCTGATGGCCAATCAAACGGCGGACGATACCATTTGGAACATGCTGAAGAACAAGCAGGAGGTGCTGAGCAAGGTGGGAATCTTTGCCGAGAATCTGCAGCATGCCACGCACACAGCCGCGCCCACAACTGTAAGTGCATAACTCCTATGAAAGTCACTTTAACTAATGCACTTTATTTATGCATATTAGTCAAGCAAGATTGAGCAGTATTTCTCGCCAAACAAGCCCAAGTCGGAGACAAGCGCAGCCGAGGCACAAACCAAAGAGGATACTGAGAGCCGCGTGAAGGAGAAGGACATAATTGTGGATAGCGAAAAGGATATAGCTGCTTTCTTTAATGATGATGATGATGATGATGCATTTAAGGATTTAATCTTTTGATGGTTCCGTTTTACACTATATAATTTACAGATTGTGTTTATTTAGTTRTAAGAAAATAAATAAATATTTAAATGAATCTCTGAATATAAATAAGGAATTCTTGTAGGATTTTCTCAATTTAAGATTGATTACAATGCTTAATTATATGCTGTTTTCAATTGGTTTGTAAAGTAGATTCGAATCTTTAAATTTGACAACTTTACTATGAAGCATGAGATACGAGTTTGAAAACCTGTTGAAAGAAAGATTTAAAATTTAGATAAACTCTAGATAAACAATAGATGAAATGTGTTAAGTATAGAGAGAAAAAACTCTCTACTCAAAAAAAAAACTGTACTCAGCTAGCTCAGCTGATAACAACTTCTCTTTTATTAATTAAACAAGTTCCTGTTCGGCTTAATATAGCTCAAGCTTGAATTGTTTACGGTGTTAAGGACCCACTCAATGCAAACATCCTTTGCGCATGCCCAGAATATTGGTTGCCAATCCATTTGCCGACTGCCTTGGCAACCACCTGAAACACTAGTCGAGAAAACTTTTTGAATTGACTCAAAAAACAAATAGGATAAACAAAATATATATCGAGAGGCATGGATAGCTCATTGGGCGAAAATGCGGAGCTGGTGGGGGCGGAGGATCTTGACGAGGAGGGCCTGAACGATGACTATAATGTATCCTTTATGCAGGACATTATCACACTGGAGTAAGTGAACCGCATAGAGCCTCTATTTGATAGATGAGATTATTTTTGAATCCTCCTCTAGGCACTCCTTTGGCTACGACTGCAAGCGTCTGTTCAATCTGGTTTTGGTAGACGATGATACGTTGGTCTTTGCGTCCGGCAACTTTTTGCACTACTTTAGCATATCCAGGGGCGAGGTGACCTTTCGGGAGACCGTCTTCGGCTGCGGCGTGGGCTTCATTACCGTAAGTAGTTCTCTGGAGACTAAATGAATGCCAACTCGGAGTTTTGACGCCCGCAGAAAAACGAACGCCCCGAGTTTAGCAACCTGTTCACTGTCGGCGAAAATGGACCCAAGCCGACGATCTTCATCTACGCTTATCCCTCGCATGACATTCACACCAAACTCCTGAATGCAGCCAAAAGTTGCTTCACGGCCGGCTCCTACAATTCGAGCGGGGAGCTCTTCGCCTCGCAGGCTGGCTATCCGGACTTCATCATCACCATTTGGCGCTGGCAGAAGGCGGAGGTGGTGCTGCGGGCCAAATCGTTTCAGAGCAACATCCTATACGTGCACTTCTCCGAGTATAATCCCATTCTGCTGTGCTCCGCCGGCCTCAGTCACATCAAGTTCTGGAAGATGGCCAACACGTTCACCGGCCTCAAGCTGAAGGGCGACCTGGGCCGGTTTGGCAAGACGGACTTCAGCGACATCTGTGCGATGTATATGCTGCCCGACGAGAATGTCATCTCGGGCTGTGACTGGGGCAACATGCTGCTGTGGGAGGCGGGGCTCATCAAGTTCGAGATCTGCCGCAAGGGTCGCAAGCCGTGCCACACGAAGCCCATCACACGGATCACCATGTCGAACGGCGAGGTCACCACCGTTGGCATGGACGGCTATGTGCGCGTCTGGTTTTGGGAGACAGTCGACATAGCCGATCCGCCGGAGGATGATCTCTTCGTCGAAATCGATCCCATCTACGAGTTCAAGATCTCCAACGTCGAGCTGCGCTGCATGCAGAAGATCAAGCCGTTCGATGACACAGACTTTGGATACTACGTTCAGGATGGTGGGGGCGGAATTTGGTTCTGCGACATCAATACGTTTGATGTGCCACGCCCACCCAAGCAGCTATACTCGTGCGTGGGCGGGCGCGTGCTGGCCGCCCAAATGTCAGCCATATCGCCGCATCTGTTGGCCCTCTCCGAGACGGGAAAACTCTTCGTCTACGACTTCGAGCGAAACAAGTTGCTGCTGGACAAACAGTTCGCTTCGAACGGGGTGGACATCTTGTGGCTAGACGCACAGATTTCCAGCTATGGCACCGAGCTGATTGCCGGATTCGAGGATGGCATACTGCGACAGCTCTTCCTCGATCTCAGTGATCCGAACAAGACATCCATTCAGCTGATACGCGCCTACAAGGCGCACACAGCGCCCATCACCTGTGTGGGCGTGAATCGCATTAGCACGATCTTGGTGAGCGGGGCGATGGACAAGACGATGTTCATCTATCGGCTGAGCAACGATGCCGAGAAGTTGGTCCAGTTGAATCCGCTGGGCTTTGTGGAATTCAAGGCTGTGCCCAGCTGCTTCCACTGGCATCTGCAGGAGATGTCGGTGGTCCTGATTGGGTGCATGAGCGGCGAGGTCTATGAGTATAATATACGCACCAATGTTACCGAGGCGGAGACCTACCTGAGCTACAACATCACGGAGCCGAATCGCTTGCGCAGCACCCGCTTCGTGTCGGTCAAGAGCCGTATACGGCGAGATCTGAGGCGCGAGCAGATCAAGAAGCGCAAAGAGAAGAAAAAGGAGCGGAAGCTGCAGGAAATCGAAAAGCTCAAGCAGGCCAATCCTGGCCTGCAGATCGATATGGACAGCGCCCTGGCCGACTCGGAACCGGATGAGGAGGAGGAACCGCTTCACATACCCGCCGTACCCAATCGCGTGATCTGGCTGCGCTACACGGAACGCAACACCGTGTGGGTCTCCATGGCGGGCTACGATGCGGGCTACCTCTATGAGCTGGACTTTGATTTGCCCGAGCCGAAGTACTGCACGCTGATCACGGATGCCGATGACATCGAGATACACAGCTACTATATCCTGTAAGCCCGGTAGGGGAGTCAAAAATGAGATTCTCTAATGAATTCCCTATCCATCCCTTAGCGAGGAGTTCATGCTGTTTGGTCTGGTGAACGGCAGCCTCCGCATCAACCACATTAATTCGGAGGACTTCACAGATCTCTCCGACTATCGCACTTACCCCATGCACGACGCCCTCAAGGGCACCATTCCCGCCATATTGAGCAGCTACGATGGCGAGTATCTGGTCACCATTGGCTTCGACGGCAACATCTTTCTGTACAAGTGGAATGGGCCGAAGTATGTTAGAAGTGCGCGGTGGCCGAGCCTGCCGGGTCTGCCTAGTGCAAGGACGGTGGAGGACATTACCGATCCGGAGACACCTTCGCTGGAGCAGGTCAAGATCAATGCGGAGTTGAAGCGCCAGCAGGAGGCTGCCGAGGCTCACGATCGCGATGTTCTGGCCAAGATTGGAGTACTCCAGAACACCTACTTCGACATCATCAAGAAGAATGACGAGCTGCCGCCAGGACTGCGTGTGCCGGACAAGGACCTGCTGCTCGATCCGCGCATCACACAACAAATTCGCGATGAACTCCAGGCCGAGCTCGACGATGTGCGCGAGGATCTCGCCTACGATCTGGAGGTTGCCCAGGTCGGCCACCAGAAGCTCTACAATCACTTCCTCAAGTGCCTGGATCATATACCCTTCACTATAGCGCCGCTCCGGTGAGTCCTTTCAGAGTCGGTGCAGACCCCCAAAAGATCAATATTATATCTAAATCCGCAGGGCCAAAGTTGATCCAGTTGCCACATTTCGAGTGGAGGCCCTGGGCGAGGAGTTCGAGCAGATCAAGCGCGACATTGCAGAACGACTTAAAATGGAACACGATATGCGGTAAGTATTCTTCCACGATGCTAGTGTTTGGGCTTCGGTCCGACTATCTCTAATCCCCGTTCTTGTAATTGAAATATCATTGTCTCTTCATCACACAAACAAGCAGCAGAGATTGCGAGGAGCTTGTACCAGACCAGCCTGAAGTGTAAGATTATTCAGCTAAATATTTACGATTCGAGCACGTCTTTTATAAGTTGTAGGGCACTTGAAATATAAGCTATCTAAGAGTCACTGTTAACGTAATATTTTATTTCAGTATATATTTAATTCTTGTATCTTTTCCTTTTACCTCCTCTCTTACCTTATAGGACTTCCCTTCCTAGTTCTTCATTTCCTTGTTTTTCATTTCTTGCAATTGCTTTTCTTTGTAGAACATGTTTCTTTCGTCTAAGTTTCGACCAGGTGACTTATGTAAGGTTCTCTATTATTTTCTTATGTCTCTCTCTCTCTCTCATGGGAGTAAATCCTTTCCTCATTTCCTTGAATTATATGGGATTTTCTCTTTCTTGGCATATGTCCTTATTCTATAGTCACTTTTATGAGAATTAAGAATTTCCTGTAAGTGTAACCCATTAAACATCATTCCTTGCTGCTCTTCAGCCTGACCGATACACTAGAATCTGATGAAAAGGTGGAGCTGATGGGCGAGCCACCTATCGAATCGTTCTTCTTTGGCCGTGAGCCGACGACGATTACGCCCAAATTTAGCAGGACGATGATGCGATTGCTGCACCGCTATCGCAAAAGGCAGCTGTACGAGGTGCGGCGCATGTTCGACTGGGAGAAGCTGGAGCGCCAGAAGCCCGACCCGAATCGCAATCATCCCGATGACGATGCCCAGATAGCGGCCGCAATGCGAAACTTGGGCGACTATAAGCTAAAGATTGGCTCCGACTATGAGCCAAAGACCACGGAAACCCTGACGGCCAAGTACATTGAGATTGTTGAGTGCCGGGAGAGATACTTCAATATGCTCGACTCGTACAATCAGCGGCTCAGATCGCTGCGCGATCGCAAGAAGGAGGTGATGGACATTATAGAGCATCATCGCGTCCGGCTGAAGCGATTACACGAATATCTGCCGGAGGCGAATCGCATGTACATGCGACACATCAACGAAATCGACATGGAAGCAGAGTATCCGGAGATGAATCTCATCGAGCACTATACGCCCGGCTGCGGAGTCAATGTGGACGACATACTCAGCTTGGATGCGAGCGTCGAGGAGCTAATAGCCGCCAAGAGTCCGCAATTGAGCATCATTCCGGTAAGTCTGTACCCCATGGATCCGTACGCCGACCCGGCCAAGCGGGAGGAGATCAAGTTTAAGGCGCTCCAGGTGTGCCAATTGCCGGCAACGCCGCCGCCGGCCGAGATGCTGCAGTATTTGGAGACCCTGCCATCGCCCGCAGATCCCAGCTACTATGAGCTGGACGAGGAGGGTAACGGTCCCATGATCCTGGAGATGCGACATCGTTGGCTACGCGTCCGGGTCGTCGAGCAGCTTCTCATGCTGGCCGACCTCGACGAGGTGGTGCGCCTGTTCGACTTGGCACTGGAGAAGCTGCAGGCCGACCGCATCAACATTAAAATGGACTCCGAGTTCCTTAGTTCCTATTTGATCACGCTCAACCAGGAGCTCTACATCCTGCGCGACAGCGAGGAGATCGAGTCCCAGCTGCTCATTAATGCCAAGCACGCCATGAACACGCGCAACGAGCTTCAGCTGGTGATCAATGCCACCAATCGGCAGCTCGAGGAGCTGCGCAAGAACATTGATAAGATCAATGAGCAGATTGCGGCGCTGCAACAGAGCTTCATGATCACGGTGAAGGGGCACAAATTCTATGACTTTCTGCGTCGCATCTTCAAAAAGAAATATCGTCCGCCTAAGCGTGCGCGCGGCGAGGACGAGGAATCATCGTCCTCCTCCTCCTCGTCGTCATCGAGCGAGGATGGCGCCGCCGATGCTCAGAGCGTTGACTCCTTGGACATGACCACAATACGGCTGGACGAGACCACCTGTCCCTCCGGCCTGGACCGCACCCTCTACGACTGGTCGTTCTCCATGCGCGCCGATCGGCACGCCCTAGAGCGCAGCTTGGCGGACTGCCATCGGGACGTCGATCGCAAGCGTCGTGAGATTGCCGAAATGCAGACCAAAATGAAGTACCACGAAGAGGTCTACCAGCGGGAGAAGAATACGCTGCTCGAGTTTCGGGTAAGTCGGAAGTAACGATAGCATCGAACTAAGGGAATTTTTTCTGTAGCTTAGTTAGGCTGAAAGAGAAGTTTTCCTGGGTAAGCTTACTAAATATATTAGGGTTTGTCTGTTGGTAAAATGAAAAGGAAACCGAAGGAAACATTCCTATTCTGTACCTTAGCTTGAAAAAGTCTGTCTGGGAAGGTCGAAAAAAGGGTGCAAAGCTCTGTAAGTCTCCGTGTGTGGAATGAAAAGGAAAGAGGACTCAGACATTGCTATTCTATCAGTCCCAAGAGCTCTACTGAATGGTGTAAGGGTCTGCTGATAGATTTTACCGATTTCCGTTAAAATAATTATTTCAAAAAGTTAAATTTCTCCCACATCGCTCTCTTTATAGTCTGCCTCTTGAATATACCCCACTGGTATAAGATATAATATTCCTACCTTCCTTTTACTTTATCGATCATCGCCCTGTAGCGCAATAGACAGCAAGAGATCAATAAGGTGCAGATAAGCACGATTTTGCGCATGGATCAGCTGCAGCATTTTCGTGAGGGCGAGGACTTTCGGGATGTGTCGAAAGCCATTCTCTTCGATGCTGACATTCTGGTCGAGCTGCGTCGCCGTGCCGAGAAGCTGGAGGAGGAGACAATGTCCACGAAACGCTGGCATCGCATCAACTTCATTCACCTGCGTCGCATGACTCGGGATATTAAGTTCATGAGATTCGAGATAACGCGCCTCGAGGAGGAGATCAAGCAGGCGATGATGCGGCGCTTCGGAATAATCATCAATCTGGATGAGCTGGAGGAGGAGGTGTTGCGGCGCTACGTCTTTGAGCTGGAGACCACAGCCGAGGAGGAGATGCGAGCCCTCGAAAAGGAGCTGAGCGAAAGGCAGGTGAGTTAGCTCTCATTTCCAGCTCTCGTTTGGCTATTTTCAATCATCCTTCGTATCTCTGCAGATTGAGCTCTCGCGCTGCGAGGAGGAGCTGGTGCAGGAGACGCAGAACAACACGGAAAAGGTGAACATACAGACGGTGCTGCGTGAGCAAAAGAATGTGCTGGACGTCCTGTTGGATGTCCAGGAGCGCAACTACAACAAATGGGCGAACCCGCAAGTGCTGAACCTTCAGTACGACATCGAGAAGCTAATGGGCATCGACACTCAGCTGCTGCAGCAAATCGAGGTGGGTACTTTCATCCAGAGTTGTGCTATTAGTGGATAATCCTCCTACTCGCAGTGCCTGGAACGGGAGATCTGCGCCCTACGCCTGAAGGCTAAGCCACTGCAGATCAATGAGCTGTATCCGGAAAACACGGTGACTATCACCAACAAGGAGATTTTGCCGATGGACAGCGAGCCGGAGATATGTCCGGCCATACTCAATGTGGAGGCCTATATGCTGCCACCCATGCCCGATGAGTTTATCATGGATCGCGTTCACACGATCGTACAGAAGAGCTTCAATCAGTTCCTCGGCCGACACACAACAGCGGAGAATATACGAAAATTCTCGCAGAGATCGGCGCTCTACCTTTGCCAGGCTGCCTACAGCTTCCAGGGCCGCTACACGGATCGCATAGCCGAGTGCATCACGGAGCACCTGGGCTCGATTGTGCCAAAGAAATACTTCATACACATCGGTGCGGAGGATCTTCGCAAGCTCTTCAACGAGGTGATCGCCGTCTTTGACTATGAGCGCTCCGATGTGAACACCGAAGAGTTGATTTCGGGCATCTTTGATCATGCGAAGGATTCGCTTTGCGGCCGTCCTGCCTCCGAGGTGGTCAATCGCACTCAGTTCCTGGTGCTGCACATGTTCAAGGAACTGATCGAGGTGCTGCCCTTCGAGGAGTTCCAGGCCGAAGAGACTGTGCGCATGCTTGTCGATGTACTGGAGCGTGAGCCCATGGTAGATCCGCGAGCCATCAATGTCGAGCAACTGATTGACTTGACGCTACAATATGCCAAGGAGAATCTGTTGGATGGGATTACGGCGCTGCCCATCCGTAAGCTGGGCAACGACATACAGAAGCAGCTCCAGAAGAGGCGCCAATTCAAGTATCCCAATTGCCAATCGCCGCTGGCAGTGAGAATAGCCAGCAAGAAGTCCACTCCAAACACGGGCCTACCCTTTTAGGGCCAATAACTCGAAAGACCTCGGGATCACATCTATCTGTTCCGTCTGTTCCAAACTAAATATAGACTTGATCTATTGCGACACTATTGCATTATGCAATGAATAGAAGATAAAATTCGTTTTCAATTGGTAAATTGTTATAGGTTTAAGCCCATTGGAGTATTGGTCCTACATCCAAATCATAAATAGATATAGGGTATAAGGCAAGACCCCCAGCTCCAAACTAAATGTGTAATACAGAGTATTGTCATACTATTGGTAAATAAGCTAAGGATTATACTCAATTATTAAATGTATATACGATTCGATATGTAATCCTTAAGTAGGGCCTACAACTTATAGGGTATTTTCCTTGGATGTACATACTGTACCGTATAAGGGACATCTATGCAAAGGAAAAGCCTGAGCAATCTATATTTTCCGCCAATTTCAAATCATACACAGAATCAATCTATTTCTACGTTATTGATATAGAATGCATTAATTGATGGCCAAAGGGTTAAAGGCTTTTCCAATTAGTAATCCCTAAAAGGTCGTGCCGATGGAAAATAGTGTAGAGGCTTAAAGTCGGTTCCAATTCGTGAGTTGCTAAAGATCTAAGCCGGCTGGGAAGTTAATCTTTGAGTGGGGAGGCCAATGGATACTAATTACTTACTAAATCATATTATATATCCGTTACATTAATAGATTGCACTATTTTATTGTGAGGGCTTCCATTGGAAGGCTCGACCCGGTAGACGGGATGAACATTTATTTTAAGTTGCTTGCAATAAATTAAATATAGTTATAGAATGCATTCGTATATATCCTATGGATAGCAGAGTTAAGGATTTGGATTAGAGCGCATAGCCTTAGTCAAATTATTATAAATCTTGGTTGATCATGAACATTCACTCCAGACGACGTTTCACAGTGTTAATTTTGAGCGGCACCAGTTTCAGCATCTCGCGCACCACCCCAATCTCGCCATGCAGCTGCTCGGAGGCCTCCTTGTACTGGTCGCAGGCATCGCTGAAGCGCTTGTAGTAGGTCAAGCACTGATTCAGTTGCTCCAGCTGCTGCTGGGGATGCGCGCTGATCAGCTTGTAGTAGAGGCGACCGATGTGGAAGTGGGCGTAGAGCATGGTGCGCACCTCCTCGTCGTCCATGCCGGGCTTCCACTTCTGGCTGTCGCCGCTGACCAAATATGACTTGACATAGCTCTCAAAATGCTTGATGGCCTTTAGGCAGCTCTGATTCACACGCTTCACCTCCTCCGGAGTGGGCGATTGGTTTGACTTAATGGCATCGAGGCGGATGTCCAGAACGGCTTCATGTGCGGTGCCAGCCACATACCAGCACTCCCGGCAGATCTTCAAGTAGCACACCGGATCGAGCAGGTCGAGCAGATCCTCCAAGTATTTGGCGCGTCGCTTTTGCATCTTGGCCTGGTTTTCCGGCTGCTCCTCGAAGAAGGCAATGTGCTCGTAGGCCTCGGCATAATCTTGCATAATCTTTGCATATTCGGTGGCCTCGGTTTCAGCCTTGTAGTAATCTTGGGCCACGTCCAGCCACTCGTTGATGAAGTGAAATACCAGCTTGGCATCGTCGAAGGTCAGACAGTAGTCGCAGCTAATACGTCGCTCGATGGCCGTCAGATCTAGGTCCTCGAAGCGATAGTCAGCATCGTCCAGTTGCAGCTTCTTGGCAGCTGCTGCCAGCTTCTTCTGCTCCTGCTCCTCCTCCTCGTCGTCACGCAGCAGTCGCTCCTTGGACGTCTGCAGGAGCAGCAGGCCGTACTTCGCCCAGCAACGTGCCACATCTGCATAGCGATGCTTGAATGTCTCCGTAACATCTGCTTTTTGTTGCTCGCTCATCTCCGGCTTGAGCATGTGCTCCTCGTGCTCGGCCATGATAATGGTGGCCGCCGCCAGATGATGACGCGCCTCCGCAAATCTCTCCTGGCCTATATAGTACTGCGACAGTGTCGCCGTATTTAGTGCAAAGTCAACGGCATCGTACGACTTGTATTGCAGCTGTCGGTGGAGAGTGCGATGGCAGCATTGAGCGGATTTCTCCGGTTCACCCAAATGCCCATACATCTGGGCCATGTAGAAGCAACAAAGGGTATAGAGATTCTCCAGCTCCTTACCACCGCCATGGGTGGCTTGTAGCTCGTCAGGCGGACTGTAGAGATCGGCTACTGCTAAAGCTGTCTGCCCACTGGCCTTGAACTCTTCATAGCTCTTGTCGGCCTTTAGGAGCAGCTCCACTGCCTGCTTGTACTCCTGCCGCGAGGCAAGCACAATGCTCAGTTCGTTGACTGCGCCCACATAGGGTATGATGCCTTGTGGAGTGTGTTTGTGCGGCTCCATCAGCTCCAAGCAGCGATTCAGCAGCTGCTCACCCTCGCTGACCTCCTCAACGTAGATATAAATGCGGCCCAGATCGCGGCATGTGAAGCCCAGCATGGACTTGTAGCACAGCTCATCTTCGCCCCCCTCCTCCTCGGCTGCTTGTATAGATATTAGTTGCTCGTCCAGTTGCTTCTTCAAATCGAGGAGGACGTCGCGCGCTTTGTAGTGGGATCGATAGGGATCTGTGGGTGGATCCGTGCGACTGTCCTGTTCCACTAGCTGGCTGGACTTCTCGAACAGCTCCTTGTAGTCGCTGAGCACTTCCTTTGGTATAACCATATTGTATATATTTTAAGTAACTTAATTTCGAATTTTTAAATTTTTTAGATTTGACTCATTTTATATTTTATTTTCCCTTAGCAACTGTGGCGGCCAAGCGATAGGAGCATTTGCCGGAACAGCTGGTCATATAATATATCAATATAGCAATTCATCGCATGCTATCGTATATCGATATAATTAATCCTAATCATGTTTTCCAGCACTAGCAAAGATTGTCATCTCTAATTTTCTGCAAGTTGCAATTTGCATACAATATAAACAAATAAATAAATAATGGCATCRGATGGAGAGGATCTGAACATGACGGCATCTGAAAGCGAAGTTTCTGCAGCGGAAAATGAAACTGACGTTGAAGATGCGGCGGTGCCGGAGCTTGAAACAGATGATGACCTTGTAGAAGTTGAAGCTGTCCCCCTGTCGACCGATGAAGCTGAAATGGAGGAATTGCTAACACAACTGGAGGATTATACGCCCACGTTGCCAGATGCGCTTACATTGCGCATACTAAATAGCGTAAGTAAATCTGAATACTCTATGTTTAACTGTTTAGTAAAGGTAAGTGTATTTAGTCTGGCTTTGGCTCTGTGGACCCGCGAATCGTTCGCATCATTTCTGTCTCAGCACAAAAATTCATCTCAGATATTGTAAATGATGCGCTGCAGCATTGCAAAACCCGCACAACAAACATACAACACTCCAGCGGACACAGCTCCGGAAAGGTAGGCAATTAAGTTCTTTGTTATATACGAAATAATTATCTACAAATATTGCTGCAGGACAAGAAGAATCCGAAAGATCGCAAATACACTTTGGCTATGGAGGACTTGGTGCCAGCTCTGGCCGATCATGGCATAACAGTGCGGAAGCCACAATATTTTGTTTAAAATCACACTAATTAGAATTAAGCAAAAAGTGCAAAAATATGTATACACCATTTAAAAAAATAAAAAATTATAATTTTTATTATATGCTATTGCTAACAGTTACTACTATCGGTTACATATCGAATACATAACGTTATCAACAGGTTTATATTGCATTACAGTATATAAATGCTATATAATGTTTAGCGACCCAGGAAAGGATAACAATAATATAAGAAAAATATAAAATATCCATGTAACTAGCATTTACAATTGCCGGCTAACTGCTTGCGGCAATCTTCAGTGAACTATCGAAACAGACCAGTTGATTGTTCTTATCGATAACAAACATCTGTTCAGTGGCAAGAAGCAGCACAAGATGGGAGTGTTTTCGTTTCGTCTGATATTTTATTTTTAATTATTTACGCGCTAAATAGTTGCAATTAATTGCTAAAAATACACAACAAAGTGTAAACACATCATCGTGCTTACAATAAATATTACAGCAATCGTGTAGAGTAGATGAAAACGGCTGAAAGTCGTAAACAAAAATTGAGACAACGACGACCTCCAATACAAAGTGGGAAAAATCGAACTTTGTGCGCGTATGTGTGTGTGTATGTGCAATAAGCTAAAATTAAAGAAAGAAAGCAAATAAACATGAAATGTTTATGCAGATTCATTGATAAATAGTGCTAAAATAAGTGAAATGTGGCTAGACAACATTAATCGTTAATTTAATAAACGAGCTAGCAACACCCATTCCATTCCCACCCAACGAAGAGAAAATCTGCAAAAATGGATTTGGATGAAACAAGCGACAATGGAATTTCTCTCGGCTTCCCCGAAGTGGGCACCTGGAATCGCACACATAATGTGCCGCTGGAGAATATGAAAATCGATGCTCCCATGGTAAGAATACACACATACATATATACGCATACATATATGTAATCATGCTACATTTTACCCACGCACATAATTTGATTTGATTAATGTGTCATGAATCAGGCGAGGACGAAGCTTTATCTGCTTCTCGTCTATTGCCCCTCATGCCGATCGCTCGCTACACGCTTTAATAGCCACAGCCAGTCGATGAACAAGTGTGCGACTGTTTCCACACTTGCAGTGCGGCTTATCAATCAATTAAAGAGCTTTGGTCATTGACACACACACACACACATACATACTATCCCTCTCTCTCGCTCTGTATTACACTAGCCAACATGGATAAAGTTTATTTACGACGATTTTCTTGTGTACGACGATCTTTGCACTTTTCCATTGCTACTAGAAAATTTAAAATTCGATAACATTTTTTACACTTTATATTTGAAAGAGAATTATGCATAAATTTCTAGTTCGATAACTATTAAATTAAATTTTTTCCCATCTGTCATAAATTTACCTCCATATAGTTTGATTTTGAAAACAAAGCAATTCGGTTTTTTCTTGACAACAAGCAGGAGATGGAACCTTAAATTTACAATTTAATCGGGCAGCTTTTCTTTTTACATATATGAACAAACGTTCAAAATTATTTTAATACGGACAGAACCCAATAAAAATCTGTTTCGCGGTCTACGGACGCCGCTTTTGCTAAGAGAATTGACAAAAAATAATAAGACCGAACAAATTTTTACAAACAGACAAACAAACAAAACTTTTTCGAAAACACAACTGATTTTAGCATCTGATAGTTAAAAATTTTAGTTAAACTGTTTATCGCCGCCCAATCGAACGAATTTGACCAACAGACGGATTATAATCATTATAATAATAATAATTATARTCAATAACACAGAATGCAAACATTAAGAATATTAGTGCGATGCTTAAAGGACCGAAAGATTCTACAGAATCAGAAGTGCGTGAAGCCCGCTCGCCGATTCACGAGCAGCAGCAGCCTGCCAAACTTTATMTTGGTTGATATGGAGGAGCAGGATGACGTGGAGACCGATGATGATATTGGCATCCATCCGGTCTATCCAATACTGGGCAATCGTTACTCGGATCTCTTCTATATGCCGCACAGCGTGGGACCGGCCTATCAGGATCTGTTCACCACCGCCGATCAATTTGATGTGAGTAAATATCACAATTCGATCGGCTGGAATGGCATCAAGCCGATCCGGGCGCAGGTGGTGCGCTGTCCCAAACTGCTATTGAGCCACATGAAGCGACTGTTCACCATTCCGTGTTCCAAGTTCAAGGATCCCGGCAATTTCAGCATCTTCAATTTGTACTTTGACAGCGATGTGAATAGCGCCATCAAGGCATTCGTATTGATTGCCTCGCAATATTCCGTGGAATTTATGCAGGATGGCTATTGGTCGGACTTTGTCAATCCATTTACGGGTCGTGCCTACTTCCGGCCAGCCACACGGCGCACCCATTGTACTGTGAATCAGCCGCGCTGTTTGGGCCACAACATATTCTTCAAGGACATCCACGGCTGCACCGTCATCAAGGAGGCCAAGAAATGCACCTTTGCCGGCGCCATCTTCAGCGATGTGCCTGTCAATTACTTTGACTGAAAACACGCAACCCGAACCAGCCACGGCGATTGATCACAAAATCAAACCATTTGACACACTTAGAGCCGATTTACATTTTTATACCTACATTTCCACAATCAAATTTTTTACATGTCTTGGTTAATTGTCTACATTGAAGCTTCTTTAGAGTTTGTGCACATCAAATTAGAAATATAAGTTTATTAAATCGATCATGTATATGTTTATATGTCTAAACTGTCTTTTAAGTCTTTGGTCGGGATAGCGATTTGTATATGAAAGATTGAATTATGAGCGAGACTCAAGGGAGGCTCTTAAATCAGCTTAAGCTAATGCAGAAATAAGGAAATAAGGATTATGTTAACGTATGTTCCCGATACTGAGGGAGTCCATAAAAACACGGCCCGATCGACGTGATAGAGACGGCAGCGAAGGATGTATTGAACAAGATCATAAGAAACGACTTTTTAAGTGCTTCCTGTATTGGTAGAAACTTTGCCAAAAGTGTTTCATATCTGATGGGGACTACTTTTAAAGACACAAAATTGAAATTGTTGAATAGACACCCCAAAGAAAAAGCAAAACTCGCGAATCTTTTTGTACATACCTCGTACATATCCCAAATATGTTTAAGCTAATGATTGTGAAATATATTAAAATCCATTTAAGTAAGAGCCCCATCAAAAAGTTACCTAATTACCAAAAACATTTGCTAATAATATAATATCATCTTTAGAGGTTCAATAATCATTGAGCAAATTATTAAATTCATTTCGGTCTATTTAAATGTTGGTAAATTGTTGACAATTATTTAACGATTCGCTGATTCGTATGGGCTGAAGTATGGGCTCCAACTAAGCGTGACTAAGCGCATTGTTTTTAAATTTCATATCAAGTACATATTTATATACATTTTATATTTATAATTGTTATCTTGATAATGGGAATATATATAGATCTTTATATAATACATATTCAGATTACCTACGATTCATTTAAATTATCTTAGACTCTAGTATTATTGGACTTCATTTATTTTGACTTCGAATTTAAGTTTAATCCAGCTCGAGGCGGCGTGTTTAATTCTAAATACGTACACCTGTTTCACGCACGATGTGTGTTTCATTATCAAAGTAAATCGCATGAAACAGCTGTGACTAATTGAATTCGCCAGAACCACAACAGCCGTGAGTAATAAGAGAGTAACAAAACAACGTAAATGCACATGGGTATTCATTCTTATATTTTGTATGTATTATGTATGCATGTATATATGCATATATGCTTGAATTATATTCAAACTGGGGATTCGGAGAAAATGAAAACATTCTTAAAGTAAGAATGTTATTGTATGTTTCCCCTATATAGGTATTTGAATATTTGGATAGGTTGCTCCTTATTGACTCTGACACATATTATTATTCACTCTCTATATTTAGTGTCTCCACATAACTAAATTTGTATACTTACATAGGGTATCTCTTACTCTACTTCTGCAAACTTATCTAGAGGGTATTCCTTAGTGACTAAATTCGTATAGTTAAGTAGGGTATCCCTGAGTGAGTCAACATCATTAAACTTGTATGTTTAGGTAGAGTAGACCTTTTTAGTGAGTCTATTAGTATATCCCTTAACGACATTTCTATATGTAGATAGGGTATACATTCTTCTCAAAATATAACATTCTTCATTTGTGGTTTGCCCTTTGCTCAACTCATACTCTAACCCCTTGGCTAAAATGATATAATAACTAGTTATGCTTCACCTTTGCTACCTGTTATAGATATGGCTGATCTGCTCGCTGCTGACGACCATCATGTGGGTGACCTACAACAACTTTTACAACTCTCGTGTCATCGGCATGCTGATCACAAAGATCGCGAATCGCTGGTTCATAAAGGGCGCTTACTTCAAGATTGGATCGGTGGCGATAAATCCGCTGGCTGGCAAAATCATGTTCAGGGATTTTGTTTACATTACGTATGATTATACGATGCGCGTGCAGGATGGCTACTTCATATTCCGCTGGTGGCGTTCCTATGTGCCCAAAGATGTCTCGGAGGGTAAGTCTTGAAGTCCAAATCTAAAATAATCAAATTAAAGTCCTGATCCCTTGCAGATCTCTCCCATTCGGATACGCGCTTGTCTGTTCAGCTGAATGTGTACGAGCTGCACATCTACAATCGCTCCGATCTGTACGATAAGTTGGAGAAGACTTTCGGCTTGGAGCCTTCGCTGCTGATACCCACGGATACGGTGAGCACTGAGGAGCGCAATAAGCTCAAGGAGCATCACATGAATCTGGAGAATGCAAAGCAGAGCAAACGCGTGAATAGCGTTAAGAACTCGGAGGCCATGCAGGCCACCACCTGGAGAGATTTGATACCTGTAATCAAGATCGACATCAGCTCGGGTCGCTTTGTCTTCGGCAATCGCTTAACACCGACAACGCTGTCCATATCCATGGAGGAGGCGCACTGCACGTACAGCACCAAGCCCGCTGTTTGCCCGCTCGATCACTTTATGCACTTTGTCAAGGCGAAGGTGGAGAATGCTAAAATCTTATTCTGTCCCAGTCCGAAATACACGGGCCTGATTGACGAGCCGCCACGCTATATGGGCGAGGGATTTGTGGTCATGATGTCCAATCAAATGGACTTATACTTCTATATGGATGAGCCGGGAGTTGTGCCAGAGGAGCCGGTCCAGATTCTCTTGGCCAATGGTGATGAATCAGAGCCATCGCCGCCCGTCTGGGGCATCAATGCGCATTGCCTAAAGGGCACGGATTTCAGCTACGGCCCCTGGGCAGACAGACAGCGCGATCATCTCTACAGATACTTCTATCCATCCGATTGGAAGGAGGCCGAGGTGACACCGACACCGCAGCCAGGCGAACTGCGCACGTATCAGTCGTTCGATGTGACGCTCTGTGTGCTGAACGAAGCCACGATCGACATACTCTTCTCCAAAGAGAAGGAGACGAATGCCATGCACATAACCGTGGGCCCCGCCTCCTATGTGGAGGTGACCATACCTTGGGTGACCCTAGCCGATGGCTATACGTCCAAGATTCAGGGCCAGCTGTTCCATGTGGAGGCCACCACCTCGCTGCAATATCGCAGCCTGGCAGAGTTCGAATCGCTGGAGTACAAAGTGCGCATCCATTATCCAAGAAAATGGAATGCGCCACAGGATTGGAACATCTCATTGGCTGGCTGCAAGACAACGGCATTTATTGTGTATAAACACAAATGCTTCTTCCAGGATCTCATCGAGGATTGGGCGAACAAAGCAAGACCCGACATACTTAGCTTTGTGCCCTACACTTGCAATTTCAATATACGCCTGAACGAATTCGAGATTCTGATGCTGTGCAACGAATACAATTGGATCGACTGCAGCAGTGCGAACCAGGAGAACAATCACCTGGCCTTCTGTGGCGATGTCTTTGAGATGAGCTTTGCGCTGCCCTTCGACGATTTTCTACCCAAGACTGTCACGCTCAAGTTCTGGATACACGGCGAAGGTCTCGACTTGAGTTTGTATGTGCCGGAGGTGTCTTCGGTGCGACCCATTGTCCTAGCCATAGACGAGAATGCAAGACTGTTAACACGCGAGGGCAAGTTGATCAGACGCCCCGAGCTCTATACGAAAAAATGGCGTAAGATTTGCCAGCGCAGCGCCGGCTGGATCGATTGCTGGGCGGTGCCCATATTAGCACTGTCCATCCAGTATGTCTATCATCCGGTGCCGCCGCTGGGGCCTGATCCCCAGGCGGATATCACCACGCCCGAAAAGGAGGAGATTCTGCTGAGTCCAATGCGGATACCGAAAGTACGAAAATCTCCAGTGAGCAACAGTTGGCAGCAGGCACAGCAAGCAGCCGAGCAGCAGCAGAATAAGTTCGATCCGGGCACCTTGACGGCGGATCAAGTCACGGTGGAGGTGGAGATTGGCAGCTCGGTGCTGATGGCCTATGGCAATGTGCTGAGAAATTTCATCAGCCTCAAGGAGAACATATTTGGCGAGGATCAGAACTTCACGGACATGGAGCAATCGAATGTGAACAAGGAGCCAGGTGTTGCTCCAAACCCGAAAGATCAACTGCTGGCCAAGGAAAAGGAGCTGGCCAACAAGTCCATATCAGAGACAGCGCCACCCGAAGAGAAGCGCAAACCCTTCGATCCACGGCTCTACCGCCCGCTGGAGGTCATGGTCTCGGTCATAGTGCACGATATTCAAGCGCACGTGATGAAGAACTGCAATCCAGATGATCCGCCCTGCCCGGTGGTGCTGATCGAACGTTTCGGCTTCGAGATGGACAAACGCTACCATGAGACAACGCTGCAAGTTTTGGTTAGCCCCTCGTATCTGCTGACGGCCGACACGCTGCAGCGACAGCAACGCGAGCAGCACATTCAGCAGGGCCACCTGCTGCTCTCTGCTGTCCAGGTGCGAGGCCATGCGATGTTCAGCAATGAGGGCTGTGCCTTGGATGAGGATACGTTGGAGTATTCCTGGCTGGTGGAAGTGCAGCTGGGCAAGCTGACGGGCAAGTTGACCCTGCCGCAGCTGGTGAATGTCGTCACTGGACTGGAGACGCTGGTGCTGCTCGCCATCGATCCCGAGAACTGCTTGAAGTCGCCGAAAACCGTGCGCAATTGCCATCATGGTGTGCCCAGCAATCTGTGCCCGCACACCAAGGAGGAGAACAAGTACAAATGCCCATCCTCCGAGGACATTAAATACAAGATGACGCGCGTTTCGGTAGACGCTGTGGACGTCTATCTCATCGAGAGCGGCACGGCCTTGCATGCGTGGATCTCGCCCATACGACTGGCCAACTGCAATTTGCATGGCCAGCGCGTCAAGTCCGGCATCTCGGGTCTGTTGCCTTCCATTCTGCTGCGACTGTTCATGCTGCACGCGGGGAATGCGCCCAATAGCAGCTACAATACGAATACCACGGGCAGCAATCGATCGGGCAAGCTGCGACGCGCTGATCAGGACTCGCTCAAGTCGCAGGATGTCTATGGCACGCACAAGCCCACCAGCAAACGCAGCTCCAACTCGTTCTCGCAACGTCGCGATTCGCGCGAAGACTCGGCGCGCAGCAAACTGCGGGACAGCGTGGATGCACATGCAGCCAAGCGCACACCGCTGACGTCGGAGCTCTGCGAGAACTGGGTGGAGGTGGGCTGCACCTCGCTGGGTCCCATACTGCTCGAAGGCGCCTCCGCACTGCCCATACCCGACCATGAGCTGCATCTCGTGCAGCACAAGTGAGTGAAAGCAGCTGCAGCTTCTCTATATATGAAAATACTTCAATTGTTTCCATCTTTCAGCTTTCTGCGTGAGCACGACGCCAAGTTTAAGCGCCTTTGGTTCCTCTGGGCAAACAATGGCAGTGCTCTCAGTTCTGGATCGGAGACCTCGCGCTGTGGCTGCATTGGCGGCTGCGCCTTCTTTGGCAGCAATCGCAATGGCCAAAAGTTCTTCAAGCCCACAGCTCAAGATGTGCACGATAATTACAATATAGCGCGTTATTTGTAAGTATCAAAACTCAAATTTGATTACCTTGTGCTCATCTTTCTAAATCTCTCCCATTCAGCATCATCAACAATAGCAAAGATTTTGGCTTTGGCGAGAGCATTTTGCATCAGGGCCAGCTCGTCTTCCACACACCGCCCTATAGTCTCCACTGCGTATCGCTCTATGACGCGGCCGACTTCAATGGCAAAGGCAAGCTGTATAGACCCGCGAGTGAGCTGCGCAATGGCAGCTTGAAGAAATCGGAGCTTGGCTCTCTGCCCGATGGCACTAAATTCAAAATTGGCGCCGGCTCTGTGGAGAAGCCAGAGCTCAACAGCAATCGACACAAGAGTCGCGAGAGCATTGGCTCACCGAATACGCTGGAGCGACGCAGCAAGCGTTATACTTGCACGAGGCAGACCTCTGTGGAGGTGCCATACGCTCGCCTGCTGGATAGCCCGTCCAAGAAGCTGCAGCTGCAGCACGAGTCCATCGAGCGGGAGATTATCAACACAAGCTGTCAGCAGCCAAGACGCGGCTCCGATTCGCACCGACTACGCGTATCGCCGCCCAAGACAAGCATCTCCGACTCAAGACTGACCGGCGAGGCGGCTCTGGATGATGAGCAGGAGGTAAGTAGATATGCTAGTAAGAGAAGGAACTCTTTGGTACAATTTAGATTTATTCCGACATCAGATTCCCGATGAAATGTCCCACTCGGCGCCTCATTCGCATCCGCTGGAATTTGAGATCGCGGACATTGTGCTGCATGGCGGCGATCAGTTGCCCCGTGAAGTACAGCGCACCATATCGCTAACCTCCGAGAATCCCTCGGAGATGTTCTTCTCCGCCGAGGAAGACATTTCGAATGTTATGTCTCAGCGTGGCTCCATGAAGCAGCGCAGTGGCACTGGCTCCATCATTTTGTCGGGCAGAAAACGTTTCTCCTCTGACTTCAGGTAGCCATTACAGAAATTAAATCAAATAACTGTAAAGCTAATTCCGATATATTACAGCATTGGCGCTCAGAATGAGAACGGCAGCCACACTTTGCCGACCTATCGCAGCGATCTGGAAATTCATCCATCCGAGAGCAACAAAACGCTGCCCAAGCGACCACAGAGCACAACAGAACTGGTAAAAACAATCGAGCAACTGTTACAAACAGTTTCCTATCTATAATTATTATATATATGTATTAAGTCTACGTATACGGATTCCATATACGATACTACATACACTTTGCAGCTTTACTGCTTTTAAGGCCTAGTTTATATTCCACTTTCACCAACTACAGTTTATAGCATATATAAAGCAGCCCAGTTCTAAAGTATTTGGGAAAAACTTATACAAATTTATATATTTACATATATGATGCATGCCTCTCTTCTTAACTTTAAGCTATATATTTCTCTATAACTCTATTGTTAAACCAAATCCACACCTAAATTCTATTCCTTTCCACCAAAACTTTCAATTCATAAAAAAAAAAACTAAACGTTATAAAAACTTGATAAATACGAAAAAACTCATCCAGAATGAAGACGCGAGACGCATTCACGGTCTTGCCACACCTATAAGAAAATTAACAAATATCTCATCACGACCCGAGTATCGACATTTTGTTCACGATGTGAGTAGTTCTTAGCAACAGCCAAAACCAAAGTACAGTAAAGATCAATTTTAAAATTTAAAACCAAATCCTTAATCTTTGACTAACATGTGTAGCGCAACTAACTTCCAAATATTTCTTTCTATCTTAATGTACCAAAAATTATTTAGTATAGTTTTATTATAAAATATTATATTTGAAAAACAATATTATATTCGGTTTGCCGAAGCTTTGCGAGGGTGGTCTAAGCAATTGTGTATGGATTAAATTCATTTAATTTTACAATATAATAAAGTGTTCAGACCACTTCCGTATATTCTTGCAGAAAATTTTTTTTTTTTTTATTTCCGAAGATAGTCCAAAAAGTAAAACAAGTTGAATGTTAATTTTATTTATATAAATAATAGTGTTCAGCAGGCTAATAAATTTACAAATTATTTTAGGGTTATTTAAATTAAAAATATATTATTATTTGTAAGATTATTATTATTGTGAAATTCATATTATTATTTTTGTTTGTCTTATAAATGTTTTCCCTCAGTTTCAACTCTCTGCAAGGGTTTCTCTAATATGTTGCCTGCATGCCTTCTACACATTTCGCATGCTACTTGGAGCTAGTCTAAGTTTAAATGATTTCTAGTTTAGTTTTAAGTATGAAGTCTTTGATTAACACACGCACAGAAACAATTGCACCCATTGCACTTTTTGCGCCTCTTGTTCTGCCCACCGTTTCCATTTGATTTGTAGCCGTGCGCCATGGATTGCTTTATGATCTCATTCTGATGCAATATTTGGTTTGCTTTGCATTTCCCAGGCTGACTCCCGTGGCTCGTCGTCGGGGACGCCGTCGCTCTCATCGAACTCCTTCATATCGGCCATGTCGTCGCAGGAGGATGTTGCGCTGGTCAATCTGCATCAGCAGGTCAATCGACCCATCATCGATTCGCCACTGCTGATGGCCAGCTATTTGAATCACTTGTCGCAGGTGAAGTGCTTCAATTGGAACGGCTGCTCATTTCCGCTCGGACCGGATGTCTTCTCTACGCCGCTCTTCCATGAGAACGAAGACGGTGGCCTCACCTACATTGGCAGCAAAATGTTGCCACATTTCGATTTGTACTCGTGCTGGCGTGAAATTAAAGTGGTGCCACGCTATGAGAACTCCACCGGCAGCAACAGCTCTGCCACATTTATGGGTGGTCCGAAATCCCATCCCTGGGATCCCAGTGTCCTGCTCAAGGAAGAGGAGTCGGACAAGACGACAAATGGTTTCGATGATGGCGAATTCATGAGCCTTCAATCGGAAGGTGGTGCGGCCTGCACCTCGGTTGTGGCTAGATTGAAGGGGCAGCTCAATATATTCCTTACGCCCCTCCTGCTAGAGGGACTACAAAGGTGAGTTGAGCTATTTATTGCACATTATGCACATTAATTGAAATATACATTTTTGTAGGTGAGTTGAATATACACAATTAATCCAGACTCAACTTATTTATTCGCACATTATAAAAATATATATTCAGTCACATCGGTCAATTGAACAAACGGAATAACTATGAAAACTTAACTTCGTTTAACACGCAAATGCGTTCGTTTTGCCAGCCTGATGGCCACATTGAGATTGCTCTGGCTGTTCTGATCACGGGGAAACGAGTCCATCAGCTTCTTGAGATAGCTTTCGTTGTTGTTATTCTGGATGGAGTCTTTAATTGTCTATTAAGGATGTCATTCCGCACTTACCTCGTTCGAGTCGTCGTCGTATGCTCTCCCATTTTTCTCCCGCTTGGTGCGTTTCGACTGCTCCAACTGACTCTGTAGGGGACTATGTTCGTTGCTTAGCTGATAGGGGTCATAGTTGAGCATTTCGCTATGCTCCTTGTCCGATCGCAGCTGATGCTCGATGGGTTCCTCCTCGCTTTTGATGTAGCCCTCCTGTGTTTGAATGAGATAGCGCAATGGATCACGAGCATTTTGCGCTATGAAACTGTGTGTATTGTTTTTATAGGTTTGAATGGAACATGTAAGTCAACTAAATCCTCCAACCTGTCGCCTTCATTGGCTGCTAGTTCGCCTGGCTCATTCACTGGCGCGCTCTCGTCCAGCTCTTCGGTCTGCTTGTCATCGTCCTCGGACTTCTCCTCTTGGTGCGGCTGCTGTAGATCTTGCCTGCGCCCGTGCGCAGTCCTTGCCAGCTCATGTCGCTCGTACGGCGCATTGAGCTGCTCTTCGTTGTGGTGTAACTGTCCAACCTCGTCCTCGGTGACCTTCGCTTGATCCCAGGCACTACCCAATTTCGGCAGATCCTTGAATGTGTCAGCAGTGGCCAGTTTGTCATAGTCCATATTCGACATGTCCGGCAGAGTGTCCTCCTTGCCATTCCAGTCCTCCAGTTGCTTGCTAAATTTGAGGACGTCATCGCGATGTGCCTGAGCTGCCAATTGCTCCAGACTGCCCATTCCGTTGGACACGTGATCCAAGCCCACATCGGCAAAGTCATTCATGCTTGGTCTCTGCTTCGACCTGTGCTGCAAGCGCTGCAAGCACATCGTATCCTCCGGATCGCATTCCTCAATACTTTTGCATTTCAATTTGGCACCGTGGCGGTCCGAGTTCGCTCCATCCAAGTGTATATCGAGGAAGCCATCCAAGGACTTGCATGAGGTGGTACACTTGCGAGTGGTGCAGCGCCGTGTGGTCGGTCGCTTGCTGCACTTGGGTCGCTCGGTACATTTGGGTCGTTCGGTGCATTCGTCCTTGTCCTTGTCATCGTCGTCGTCGTGACAGCCATCGTCTACCGATTGCTTGTCCGGCTTCAAGGCACTTTCCAAGTCCTCGTCCACACTGTCCACATCCGTGTAATGTTGTTTCTTGGCTTGTTTATGRTGTCCCCTAAGGCTTGCTTGCTTTGAAAGGAATGAATTATGGATGGATTCGCTTGTTTAGCATACGACGAAATACCCTGCAAGTCAAATGGTCCATCGCCAGCATCATCCAGAAGTTTATTCAGCTCATTCAAATCGTCCAGGGATAGGCCATTGAGTGTGGACTCCACTTCAGCATCAGTGAGACCATCTGTTAGATCCGGATAATCAGCCGGATCGAGCTCAGCTTTTCGTTCGGGCTTTACTTGAGCTTCCTGTTTCATTAGTTTGCATTACCAAGAAGTCATAGAGGACTTTCACTCAACCTACCAGCGGATATGCTGCCATAAAGGTCAGCAGGGCACCAAACAGACCAATGCGCAGTAGTAACATTTCTATAAACTTATAGCACTTAAATTTGTAGTAGTATATATATCTTATGCTGATCGAAGTAGAATGTTTATGCTGTGACTTGTTAACTGATAACAGATAAAGCAATGGAGGCCCGGTTGGGATTATGTATTTTCGTTACGAATTAGTTCCAAATGAGAAACTCGGAGCTTATCTTACTGCTAGACTTTATAGTTCTTATTTTAATATATTTGTCTTTTATTTTGCTTTTCGTTTGAGTCCTTTGACTTTCAGTATTTACATGGAAGGCTGCTTTTCTCTTTCGATACAGATCATATAATACCTTCTTCTCTCTCCTGTAAACATAGTTGTCTCCCATAGAATATATTGCAGATTTACTAAATATTTTAGCTTTCTCCTCTCGTTAAAATCATGTATCATGTAATTTCATAATATACTTATCATATACAACTTTTATTGTATTCTCTTGCAGAATGGTTGAGGCTGCCGTACCGACAATTCAGTCAATGCATCTGCTTTCTGTTGTAAATTTCATTCATGCCTCGTGCATAGCCAAAGTGAAAAACGACAATATATTAAAGCGAGATCAGAGTCTGAGCTACTGGTCGCAGGTACATTCGAATTCCAAGCGTTCGACAACCGAACGACATTTGCAGGGACCGGGCGACTCATTCCTGAGCGACGTCTATGAGGAGAGCATCTCGACAAAGACTCAGGGATTGATTGTCCTCCCTAAGGTGAGCATCACAATGCTCCAGTCGTCTATTGTGGAGGAGATCATCTCAGTGGCAGCGCTCGACAACGTGCAGGTGAGTGAGAAATGCATTTCGAATCACAATTGAAATGGTACTAATGAATTTTCTGCACACAGGATCTCAGTTGCGTCTCACTGCTTACGTTCTATATGGAGGGCATCTCGACCAAATTTCATTTGGGTAAAACCACACGAGCCTCAATGCACAATGTCTATATACAGCAGGCTGTGCAATCGGGCAGCAGCCATAAGAAAGGTGGCATTATGAAGGGCACCCGAGCGCTGCTCGCACATCTCTCGTCTCAAACGAGACCTGACAATGTGCAAGGCGAGCCGATACTAATTGAGACGTCGGAGAAACAGCTGGAAGAGCTGGTTATTACACTCGATATTGGACGAGCGCACGCGCAGCTGCGTCGGCTAAAGACCGAGGGACAGTCGTGTGCACCAGAGACGCCCATCATTGTGACGGCCATACCGGAGCACAAGAGCAAGGTGCTCTTCGAGTGCTTAAAGATGCCCGAGAGCACGGGCATTGAGAGCATTGGCTACATCATGTTCGAGTGTGGCTTGGAAGGAGTCGGCGTTAAGATTGTTAAGCGTTCGCATTTCGAGAAGTCGGAGAATAGCAAAGAGGAGCTAGCAGAGATGACAGGTGGTGCAGAGGGCGTTGCTTCGACAGGAGGTGGCTTCAATCTAACAGAACTGGTGGTGGGATCGACTGCTGAAGCTGCACCTGCCTCAGCAGATGCAAGTGGCGCTACCTCAAAAGCCGAGGCAGCCTGGCGTTTAATAACCAAAAAACCACCGACCCCCAAAACACCTAAAGAGAAATTTCCGCATGCATTGGATGTTAATATTGCTAGTGAAACCGGTGCAGAGCAGGCACGCAAAGCCACGCCCAATGAGGATGTAGAGAAAGGAGGAGCGGGCAGCTCACAGCCACAAGGCACTCAAAAGCCAAGCGGAAATGCTGGAAATGCAGCGAAAGATGGCTACGACAAGGCGCTCTCGAATCTTAAAGGCACCGACAAGACTTCGTCCTGTGTGATAGAGCTAAAGTCCGTGTGGTTTAACTTTGCGGCGCCTCCTTGTGTGCCAATCACTCGAAAAATTGATTTGACGCGCTTGGATTGGAATCTGCTGAGCACTGCCTCGCCGGCCATAACGGCTTGGATGAATCCCAGCAATCGGCTAGCCATGAAAATTGTGTCCCTGATGAAGGTGCTGCATACAAGACAGACGGCAGTTGCTGCCTGCCTCATGGCAGATGCCATGGAGAATGAGAAAATTCAGCGAAATCCAAAGATAAAGAAGGTAAAGGGAGTGTATAATACCATATTTCACTTACATATATACTAATGCAAAATCTCTCTCAATTAGAGTCGCTATGCGAACAACTATACGTTGTTGTCGAAGACCTTGCAGGAGGATCCCAGCTGTCAGCTTTGTTACATCATGCAAAAGTTAGTCCTGGATGAGGGAGTGCAGCGCATTGAGCAGATTTTCAAGCGTGGCGAAGTGCCCCATTTGAATACGCTTCGACAGGTGAGCAATTGAGGGATTTATAGATTTATATATTTCTAATTATCCGCTTCATTTCTACAGGGTATCATTGTGCTAAGCCGTCAGTGGAAGAACACCTTGTATAATCCCATTTTGTTCGAGCATCAGTACAAGAATAAATTGGCCCGACCGATTAATGTGACATTTTCGTTTCCGCAAAACGAAGAGGAGTGCGAGGCGGATGAGTGTGAAGGTGATGTTGAAATGGGCGCCTATGCCGGCGTCGGCGAGCATCCGGAAGAGAGTGAGAATGCTTTATTACTTGGGCAAACACAGCATCATCGAGCTCACATTGGTATTCCTTTGATTAACGCTGGTCAGCTGCCTAAACCGCAGCCAACTTCCTTTGTTATAACTAATATTTTTTATATATTTAGATATATAGATGTAGGAGATTATTTTTTTGTGTTGTTTTTTTATGCACGTATTAAGTAATTAACTAATATATAAGCCATGCAAAAGTTAACTCTTTAAGCACTCAAGAGACGTTTATTGTGCTTGGCTCTATATATATGTTCATTTCCTATCTTACCTGACTTTCTTCTATGTTCTCTTTCCAACTTTCTATATTCTCTATTTCTATATTTCAACTCCCTGTATTGTATGTCTTCAGTCAGCTTTATGTGTTCATGACTTCATATTGTTTGATGTCCTGCGTGTGCATTATGTATACAATTATTAAATGTTACTCTCCTTTTTTCCTTTTGGCTAAGTTAAGTCTAATTAAATTTTAGGCTTATACTCTATAGTGCAGTGTGCTCGATGTAAAATATTTAATAAAATTTCATATTTATATTATATACATTTATAATATACAATGTGGCACACTGCACTTGACAAAATTCCCTTTTGGTCTCTAACGCCACCTAAGTACAAAATTGAAATATTGATTTACATTTGTTATAAAAGCTTTTACTCAAGACTCTTACCATCCCACATGTAGACAATGCACAGTACGGAGGCATGTCCTATGCCCAGGAGGCCCATCATGGTCCTGCATCCCAGAGATCGACTTCCACATCGCCCAATATACATCACACGCGTCGTGGGTAAGTTTTTGCGTTTGAAACATTTCAATGTGTACCATGTCATATATGCTTATGCATGTTTCGTCTATTAATGCCTTTGCCTGTGTATGTGTTTTTCTTTTCATACCCAACTCAACTTAACCATCGCATAAATATGAATATATTTGCATATATATGATATCCGTATCTTTATACATAAAAAGTCTGGGCAAAGTGCACAGCAAAGCCTCGAATTATTCACATGGAAATTCGTCTCGTTCTAGCATACAAATGCTGCCCATTATATCGGGCTTAGTGGAGAAGCAAGTGCCAGAGTTTGGTAAGTTTCAGAATGACTAAAAGTGGATAATAAATAGTCAATATATATAATATTTATAATCGTTGCAGAATATGGCGCCTTGCAGGAGGGCTCGCTGAGCTCTACAAACTCGGTGAATAAATTCTGGCTGGGTGCTGACAATCACAAGGAAGATTTGTACTTCTGGATGGCCAAGCAGCAGGATAACAACAAGAAGAAAGAGAATTCTGCTGAAAAGGAGCATGCTCGTCCAGCTCCACCCAAGTTCCAAGGCCAGCCACAGGCGAGAAACACCATCATGCAGGACTCCATTAAGCTGCTGGATGCGCATTTAATCTTCGAGCCGCTGCTCACGTGCTTGGGCGTAATGCCACAGCAAATGATCAACAAGTTCTCAAACGCAGACATCTCTTCGCTAGAGAATTTCGGCACTAATCTCTCACTCATTGGCACCTTCGATTCGATACGCGTCGACATTGTGGTCAGCGAGGCTGGCGATAAGAAGAACAATACCAATACTAAGCCAGCCAAGCTGAGTAAGAAATCGAATGGCGGACGAGCCTCTATCATGATCGATACTCCGCTCTTCTTGTGTGAGCGCGTGGGTGTTGAGTTGGAGGTGTTGAAAATGTCCGACGGCATGGTGGATCAGGCGCGCCAGAATGTCATCTACATGTCCAGGCGACAGCTCAAGAAGCACACAAGCACCGTCATCAACTTCAGTCTCAATGTGCGCTTCATTTCGCAGCAGGTGAATATGCCGCTGCTGCGACTGCTGCATCAGATATGCAATATGTATCAGAATGTGAAGGATGCTCAGAACGAGTTCCACGAGCATCCTGATCTGAGCAAGAAGAGCCACACAAAAGATGAGTGCAGTCTGGGTAAGAAATAAGTGAAACCATCTTAAGGCTTCTTTACTAACCAGATTTTCTTTCAATAGCCTCCGAGCCAACGGACTTGCTACCCTTTTCGGATCGTTTTGCTGGCCACGGCGAAAGCTTTTCAGATGAGCGCTATGACAAGTTTAACGAGACCATGCCCACAATGCCAGCTGGTCGTAGTCGTCCCATTATACAGCTGACTCCTTCGCCCAATGCCAAGAATCGACCGCAGAGCTTTGCGCAAAAGCTGCGCTCCACGGGCAAATCCGTCAAGGGCAAACTGGGCTACACGAATCTAAATGAGTCCAGCTCGTCGCCGTTGAGGGACAGCCCCACAATGTCGTTCCACGAGCAGCACATTATGAAGCTAACCACAGAGTCGAAGGCTTCGCTGAATGGTGGCTGTGCGACGAGTGTCAGCGGGGATTACAATAACACGCTCACCAAATCAGCGCCGCTGCTGGAGACGCCCAACTGTTGGAAGACAATCTATCATCTGCTTGAGCTGTATGGCACCATGCCGGAGACGAAGACAGTGGCGCAACGGAGTTCGCTGAACGAGCATAAGAAGGCGCCGCCAAGCTTCGGTAATAATGATGACGACGACTTGACGAATGCCCCAACACCGCTGCCGCAGCATCGCGAGATGCTGCTTGTGGATGGGGTGCCGCCGGAGCGAACGCGCCTCATCGTCTTCGGCGTGGCCAAGATACACAAGACGCGATTGTTGGCCACGCTGTCCGGGCTTAAGCTGGAGTCGGAGATTACCACATTGAATAGCACGGCCACGTGGCGAAAGAAGGCTAGACCTGTCTCATTGGAGTGCTCGCTCACTGGGCAGGTGGGACGCGCTATGATCGTGCTACTCGAGGGCGTGGCGCCCAGTCAGCAGTAAGTACTCAAATATCACTTTCACTGACTCAGCTCATACCTAATGAATGCTCCTTTCAGAACCGTTGTCAAGGTCACAGTGGGCAAGAGCCAGACGCTCTACTCGAGCCTTTCGAAGCGTGGCAAGGATAAAAACAGCGGCCTGCTCTCGATTGGACCCGTTAACATAGACATACCGCAGCATCCAGTGGCTCTGCACGGCATGATGACGCGCAGCTCGAAGCAGCTGTCGTCCACGCTGCAAGAGCTGCGCGTGAAACGCAACTCGGGTAGATCTACACTACGATCCCATACGGCCGAGGAGCCAGATTCACCCTTCCATGCGCGCAATTCGGGCGGCGCAGCTAGCGGAGTCGGCACCGCCAGCGAAATGCGCGAGAGAACCATTTCGGGAGGTGCTCAGCAGCAGCAACAATTTGCAGCGAGACGCGCTGCTCGCCTGGCTCAATCCAAGCCGGCGACGGCATCGAATGGTCTGCTGCAGCCGCTAGTCATGCAGTTCAATGTGTTGCTGCAAAGTCTGTCCATAAATGCGGCGCTGTTGCCCTCGCTGCAGGCGCAGTATCGCATGAATCACGTTAGCTCGATGGGCGTCACGGGTCAGCGGGCAAAGTTTGTCATTGACTTGCCCACGCACACGCTCAGCTTTAACACCAAGATACAGGTGAGTTGTCCGTTAATTCTATTTCAAATATAAACTAAAGCTCATTCATCTTTCAGAACGAAATGAATCTGCCCTCGGAGGCATGCATCGGCCTGCCACCCGTGCATGTTGTAGCTGAATATATACCGGATAATCGACAGGAGCATACGGAGAGCATTGAAGGCATAGTTTTACGCCAGGGCGGCTATGTGAATGCCAGCGCTGAGATTGGCGAGTTCGAACGTTGCCTGACCACAGACCTGCTCAATCACTTGGTCTTCGTGCAGAAGGTGTTCATGCGAGAGATCAACGAGGTGCTCCAAAAGGTCTATGGCGGGGAGAAGCCAGTGCCCCTGTGGACCGAGGAGAGTGGCGACAATGCCAGCGTCCAGGAGTCGACGCTAAAGCGCATACTATTCTCCATCAACATATCGATGAAGCGTATACAACTAACAGCGACCACTCCGTGCTCTTCAGCCGTGCGCTTTGAGACGGGCACTCTGGAATTGCAGCTCTCGAATCGTGTCAAGAATTTGGGTGACATGAGCAATCGTAAAATGTTCTTCAAGGCACACATCGACTTTAATTTATCACTTGGCCAGATCATCAGGAACGTGATCTTTGATGAGGCGGAGCCAGAGTTTCAGCAATATGCCTTTTTCCATACGACCATCGGTCTGCGTAACGCCTTCCAGGATGAGTTGCTCAACGAGGACAAGGAGCTCATATTGCTGACGTTGAAGCGTCCCCTGGTCTACGTACAGCCGATAGCAGTGGACAAGGCCATATTGGTCTGGTTGAACTACAAGAATGCCTATGAATATTGGGCCGAGAAGCGTGCAAATCTCTGCTACGAGCACACAGCCCAAACCACTCAACAGGTCTTCGATCGCGTGGCCTTTGGCCAAATAGCCAGCTCCAATTTGTCAACATTATTCCTGCAGCTGACTGTGGAGGACATGGGCATCTGTTTGCCCCTAAAGCAAGTCAATGCAATGGTGAGTGTTAAGTGAATAAAAGCTAATCAAATATAATTTAATGTAAACAATTTTTGCAGTCCTTTGGTTCGCGTTCGTATCAGGACTTTGATGCCAAAGGCGCTGTGGTGATCACCTTGGAGAACACCATCATCTCGGCCTGCAATTCGGGCTCTCTGGTCTCCAAGGGCAAATTTCAGGGCCTCTGCTTGCGCTTTGCAGATGACTTCGAGACCAATCTGGATGACTGGAAGCCGAGCAGTGTGGAGCCCATTATGAATGTATGCGTGGTCTCTGAGGGCACCTTCGAGGTGTGCTCCCGCACGACGGCCGCAAAGAAGGGCGAGAATGCCAAGTGGCTGCTGAACGTGAAGTGGCAAATGGAGGGCGTGGATATTCATCTGGATGTGAACATTGGCAAGCAGCTGTCCTCGCTGGGCCACACACTCACCATGCTCACGGGCTTCGAGGAGGACGACACGCAAATGGAATCACCCGATAGCGACGAAGGCGATCAGAGCAGTCGGGATACGTATGTGCGTAGGCGGGCTGAATTCGATAATCTGCCCGCCTTTGTGTTCGATCCCACAATTGACTCGAAGAAGCGCTCGTTCATGATGGAGAAGGAGATGGCGGAGCAGCTGAAGATCATCAACGATCTGCGTACATTGGGCGCCTCGCACAATACGGTTGCCCACGAGGAGCGACGCCTGCAGGAGCTGCAGGCCATTTGCTACAAATACTTCCGTCGCGACATGATACAGAAGTGGAGGAAGCCCTCGCTGCGACGATCTCTGAAGAACTACGGTCGTTCGCATTCGTATATAGGCACTGGAGGCGTGCCAGGTGTGCCGCCCGCTAGAGAACTGCCACTGGATAATGGCAGCAGCCACAGCTATGCGGGCAGACGCCTGGACACGATTGCCTCCAATGATGAAATCTCGAGCCTGCAAAGCACGCCCGCCTCCTGTCACTCGCGCAGCGCCTCGTTTAAGACGGGCGTGGGCCGCGTGACCTTCACGGATGCCATGCGTCAGACGTCGCTGCCGAATGCCGACACCGACACGGAGACGGCTGACAACGAGCTGGACTGGCGTGGCGGCGTCCATGGCGACTGCACGCCCAGCGAAATGGACGTGGATGGCACCTCGGTGGAGATGCGACGCAAGCATGCCCATGCCCATGCCCAAAAGCAGCAGCCGGAGCCGAACATCGATTTCGAGCTGGATGTGAAGGTGCTCGTCAATTCGGGCAAGTGTGTGCTCCACACCAAGGAGAACAACAGCGGCGAGGAGCGAGCCGCCTATGCGGCTGGCGGAGCAGCCGCCTCCAGTGTGAAGTCGCACAAGCGCGAGCGCAGCATTGGCAACGACTGGGGCAGCCCGACGCCGTCGCGTCGCCAGCGGGACAAGAGCAAGCTGCGCTTCAATGCCAGCACGCACAATAATGCGCTGCTCGCCGATCTCACCATCTTCCACATACCCGGCCTGGACGTCAAGCTGCACTATCAGTCACGCACGCTAGTGGACGCCACGGAGCAGCCGTTGACGCCAGCAAACGCCTTGGCTGTGCCGCATATGCGACGCTTGGGCAATAAGCGCGCCACGCTGAGCGCCTGGATGACGCTGCAGAGCATACCGGAGGAGACAATCATCTCGCCACACATACTCGAGTTCCTCGAGCAAACGCTGGAGCCGATTCCAGCGCGACAGGCGAACAGTGCGCCCGCCACGCCCTCGCATACCGCAGCCGTTAATCTGGACATTTTGCCAGCGAATTATGCGACCTATGCCTCGTTTCCCGTCGACGTCATTGTCTACTTCCACATGCAGCCGTCCACGTTTCGATTCAGCTGTCTGCCCGTCTCGCGAGTCGAGTGCATGCTGCAGCTGCCCAGCTTGGATATTGTGTTCAGCTCGAAGCGCAGCGGCGAGGAGCAGGAGCAGCAACAGCAGCAGCCGCAGGCGCACTCGAGTCAAAGCCATGCGGATCAACAGCTGCCCACGGGCGGGCTAAGTGTGACCGGCTGCCTGGCGGACTTCAATGTCTACATCTTCCATCCGTATGGCGGTAAGAAGACCTCCAAGGAGACCCAGTTCTCGCCTCTGAGCGACAGCGAGCGCAAGGACTCGCTCAGCATCAATGTGGAGTTTGTTAAGTTTCACATCACGCGCTGCCGCAAGGTTTACATTGAGCCATTGCCGAGCTCGAAGCGGGCGCTGGATCAGTCCCGTGCCGTGATACGCTTCTCCACCATTGTGGACATTGGCAGCGCCAGCTTTAAGTACGATATGCGGCGGCTCACCGAGATCTTGGCCTTTCCCAAGGCCTGGTACAGGCGTCGCATTGTGCGGCGTCTCTTCCTGGGCGATCTGAGCGTGCACCAGCAACAGCAGCAGCAACAGGCGGGCGCTGAGACGCCAACGCCAACGCCAGCGACGCCAACGCCCACGCCCAGCGAGGGTCGCAGCAAGGATAAGCTGCGCCTGGACTTTGAGGGTCAGCAGTCGCAGCAGCAAATGGGCCACTTTGGCGCCGTGCGCAAGCTAAAGTCGCTGGGTAAATCGTCCAGCGCCGAGTCATCTGGCACGCCGCCCTCGGAGAAGAATCAGATAACTGCCTGGGAGACGTTGGTCATCTTCGCCGTCAACTTCACCAAGCTGAACGTCCAGATGAACATTGGCAACGTGTGCGGCAATGTGGTGTGGCTGACCAAGGACTTCCGCTCGGATGGGCGCCTGTCCATAGGCAGCACCGGGTACAAGAATATGTATGCGGGCATCTATTTGGGCGGCTCGGCGCTGGATGCCAAGGGCGGCATTGTGGGCGGCAGCTTCGAGGTGAACAAGATCAACAAGCGATTCCACATCAAGGAGGAAGCGGGCATGGAACCGTATCATACGCTGGGTCTTAGCTTTATGGCGTTGGAGCTGCGCCTGGATTACATGGGCACCTCGGTCCTGATGACGCGCATCAGCACCTTTGCAGCGGCCATGAAGGACGAATGGCGCACAGCATCGCAGGCAGCTGCCTGCGGCAAGGATCAGCCGGGCGCTCTGATCTTTATACACGGCGATCTCAGCTGGGATCAATTGCAGATCATGATATCAAAGTCGACGACGGCGGACCTTATGAAGATGTACTTCAAGCTCGAAGAGTTCTTTACGCAGCAGTTCAAGTCCTCCAAGCGCGTGTTCTCCAGCCTGGAGCCGCGTCTGCAAGATCGCACGGCGAGCATCAAGCGTCGCCAGCAGCTGAAGAAGAAGCCCAATGGCGAGCTACCGCCAGCTGCAGCTGCTCCCAGCCTAAGTGGGGTGGAAAATACGGATGCACGTCATCATCGCCACTGGCAGAAGCCGCTGGCCCAGGCCATTGGGCTGGTGGTGCCGTCGCTGGTCACCCGCCTGCCACGCCATGGCAATGTGCTTGGCGGCACCGTGGATCTGCGTGGTCAAAACATTTCGCTCGCCTGCTTCCACGGCATCAACTTCAAGTCCAAAGCATGGGCCCTGTTCAGTCTGAAGTCGCCTTCCATTAATTTCACAACTGAGGCGCGCCAGCTGGAGGACTCCAGTGAGGTGCACGTCACACAGACGCTCACCTCCTGCCTGGGCCAGACGACGGAGGTGCAGCAGCAGCAGAATCACTCCATGGCCATCGTCAGTCGCATCACACGCAACATTATCTTTCCACCTCAATTCAAGACGCTCAACGAATGGTTCCACTATGCATTCGCCAACAGCGAAATTGACGGTGAGTGAAGCAATTAATTACTTGTATTTTACTCATTACTTATCTCCATTCATCTTTCCCAGCCGTGGACCGTTTCCCCATGCTGGAGTGCGAGCGCGAGATAGCCTCCAATTCGATTGAACGCACGCGTGCCTCGGGCAGCAGCAGCTCGGCCAAATCGCAGGAGCACAATCACAATCGCGAGGTCATCTTCGCGCTGCCCAGCCTGCAGCTGTATTTCAAGACCGAGCACAAGCAGGGCAACACCACGCCAGAGCCAACTGGTGAGTAGAATGAAATGAATTTACTATTATGGATAATATTGAATGAACTTTCCTTTAGAAACGAAACCTGAAGTCTTGTGCAGCTTTATCACCGAGTTTGATGATCATATATTTGTCACTGTGGACGCCGATGCGTTTTTCTTTTTGCATGATCTAATCACATCGTATGTGACTGAGAAAGAGAAAGTGGTGAGTGAATGGAGTGAATGTTGTTCTAAGATAAGAGATTCCCTTGCTTATGTTTGACTTTTGCTCGCTTGCAGCTCGGTGCTCAATCGGCGCGTGCCGCTTCACCCAATCTGTCGCAGAAGGCGAACCTGAAGCCCTTCATAACCGATGACATACTCAAGGAGAAGAAGGGCGCTTCCAATACGAACTTGACTGTGCAGAACCAGCAGCTGAGTGGCAGCAAGAGCAGCCTGGAGCCACTGCAGGGCAGTCATACGAATCTGAATACGGCATCGAATACTGCCACAACAGCGAACACTGCGACAACAGCAACCACTACGACAACGACAGTAGCAACAGCAACAGCAGCAACAACAACGGCAGCAACTACAACGACAGCAACAACTACAACAGCAACAGCAACTGCAAATGCAGCTGCAAGCGATATTAAGGATGGAAATGCACAGCCCAAAGCTGGCACTGAAGCCAATGCACCGTTGCCCAGCTTTGATATTGAATCCTTTGTGCGGGATTGGCGACACTTTGACTGCCAGACCTGGCATCTAGAGCCGACGGTACGACTGCTCTCCTGGGCCGGCAAATCCATCGAGCCATATGGCGTGGATTATATACTCAACAAGCTCGGCTTTAGTCATGCACGCACCACCATACCCAAGTGGTTGCAGCGTGGCTTCATGGACCCACTGGACAAGGTGGAGGCGCTGATGATGCTGCAGCTGCTGTTGATGGTGCGCGAGAATAAATCCGAGGCTGGCCAATCGAAACAGCAGCAGCAGCAGCAGCAACAACAGAATCATAATCGCCCAGCTCCTTGAGAGCAACTCAGCCATGACAATTGACCAATTTGTATGTCGATTAATAATTAGCTTTATTCGCATTGTATATCGATCTTGTTGTAATATTTGTAATTTGTGTGATTTGTGTAACGATTTCTTGATCTAGCATCTCTATGTTCTGCATAGTAAATTGTTTAATTAGACTCAAGTTATTCGTATTATTAATATTAATACTATGATTAGCTAATCGGGCAGCCTCTGTTAAATTGTAAATTGTTTGCTCGCTTCTATATACAGATAAATATTATAACTATTATATTATTAAATACTTCGATTTAGGTCTAAGGTCAAGTGCTTCGCGTAATTTGCTCAATTTTTAGCGCTTTGTAATTATTGTATTGTTTTTAAACTGATTGTGCAAGAGCAAAGTTAATGTTTAAACTATAAGTAGCAATAATTTATATACATAAACGCATACTCTATAAATTTCAACAGAACTGTGTATGTTTCTAAATAGATAATAAAAATTACTTTGCAATGGGAAAAGCAATCATAATGGAAAAAAAAAAAATAAACAAAATGAAGTTTTTTTTTAAAATTATATTAGTAATATATTTTTATCATAATTTTTTTGTTTAGTTTTCTTTTATTATTTTTTTATTTATTATAAAAAAAAAAAAAAATCAACTGAAAGCGTATTTAAATTACAAGGGTTTCTTAATAAATAATATATACATATTTTACATACATATATTATTTCAAATGTTATTCTCGTTTGCTTTGAGGAATAGATTTCCGTTGAATTCAGTTAAAGTTTTTTCAAGCTCATTCATGCTTTTCCTACATATGAAATGATTTTTAAAAACTTTCGAATCTTTACTATATTTTATTTACAAAATTAATTCACTATTTAATTTTGTTTAAGCTTTCTTTTACGCTTTTCAGCCAAGTTTTCAAGTTTTCATTCCATAAGTTTTAAAGTTAAGCGCATTTCTCCCTCTCTGCATTAAGTTTCTTTCGATTAGTCTTAGCTGAGTTAAATTCTTTTAGTTTATCGTATATACTACAATACATATACCTATATATACTATATTTGGGGAGCAGCATATGGCCAGGCATTTTGTAGCAGCATTACAAAAAAAAAATGCTCTTTTAATTTTATGTTTTCTTTCGCTTGAGTTTGCATTCTGCGTTTCAGTTTCCTTCGGCTGGGTGACTCGACCTGCCACGCCCTCGCCGCCCACGTCTCCTTGGCTTGCTTGAGTAAACTTTGCATCCGCTGCGTGTATCCGTTTTTGTTTTGGTTTTCTGAGCACTGAAAATGTTTCTTCTACTTCTTCGCTTTTTTTATATTTTTTTTCTGTGCTTTTTTAGCCTTTCAATAGTATTTTTTTCCTTAGGTTTTTTCGTTTTCTTGTCACAGTTTTTGTTTCTCTTTTTTTTTTTTATTATTTCGTGCGCCTGTGTGTCTTTGTAAACATTTCATTTTTATCAAGGTTGCGTTTTTAATTATTTTTCCTTTCTCTTGACTTCTGCTGCCGCTGCCGCTGTCGCCGCTTCAACTGCTGCTGCTGCTGCTGTTATCCTTGCTCTGCATACTATTAGGTTTGTCCTGTTTCTACATCATTTTGTGCAGCACAATTGGCGGAGCAAAAAAGTCATGGGGATTTTCTAAGAGCGCGCCCATTTGATGAGCTTTTCACGCACTGTAGGCGCGCCCTGAAAACAGAGTGTGCTGCACTGTGTGTGTGTGTGTGTGTGTGGGTGTGTGGGTGTCTGTTGGTGTGGTTGGGTGGCTGGTTTGGTTGGGTCCACCCTCGGGCAGGGTCGTGCGCGGTCTCGCACACAAAAGGCCATGAATGCGAGTGGTTTACTTTGGAGATTAGTTTATCTAAAGTTAATGAGGGTTAAAACTAATAGGCGAATGGCTTAATTTTTAATTATGAGACTTGGTTTCAGTCCTTTCAGTTCTTGTGTTTCGTTTTTCTTACATTTTTGTGGCTTTCCATTTTCTATTTTCCTTTTTCTTTTTGCGGTATTCTCAGTTTGTTTTCTTTGCTGTGTTGTGGCATTTAATTTTTGTCATTTTGGCCCAGTGCCACAGGCAATATTCGGGCTTATAAAACGACATTCTAAAGGCAACCAAATGATGAGATTGGCTTTTTAAAATTCGCTGAAAGCGTGAGTAGACCGTTCCACAGAGACATAAAATTAGTCAGCCGCTAAGCTGTACGAGGAATTTTTTTCCTCTTTGTCTTTCACTAAAAGGTTTCTGAAGTAGTTTGAATGTTAAATGAGTTTGTCGACTTAAACTTGCCAACAGAATTAACTCGGATGAAACATGAGAATTATTAAGAGCACCAAGCGAAAGGCAATAAATTATTAACTGCAGCTTGACTTTGGTGTATACAATATAATGTAACTCTCTATATATGTCAATACATGCATATAAATATACTGTAACTCAATGGCTATTCTCTCTCCAACCTCTCATACTCTATATATAATAATAAATAATACTGATTAGTAGAATTATGTTTATATTTGATTAATATGCATAATTCTAGAATTTCCTCATCTTTAGAGCCAGAGTCTTCAAATTTAAAATATCGAATTTCTATAATTCCGATTTTGGCTCCAAGTATTTGTTTTGTTTATTTCCCTAAGTAGTTTTCCGATTTTTTCTTCCGAGTATTTCCCTACTTTCCTCCAAGTCTTTAAAGCTTCGCTGAACGATCATACACTTCACCTCACTTAAATGTAATATACACGACTGACCCCTACCGGGCCTGGGACGACTGTAGCTGCTGCCCTTTATATAGGGCGACTATCACTCACACACTAAGTCGCGCTCAAATGTTGAGCTCGGCTTCTGGTAGGAGTCGTATCAGACGAGACTTACATAGGTGACCAATGGGAACAGACTCTGCTGCAAGCCTTCTAGCTTCGTTTTACTTAAATGTAAACGCCAAATGAGTGCTGCTGCATACACATAGACAACTAAAATGATCTTCAGTAGTTCTTCAGCTGCATTTATTGGCAGGCCTTCTTTGATAGGCAGACAGGCAGAGAGAGATAGACGGTGAGACATACTGTGAGATAGACAGCGAGACAGATATACAGACAAACATACGAACATAAAGATAGTTAGTTTGCTCAAGAATATATACATATTTATGTATGATATATATATAAAGCTWATAGCATATGCTAAATAGCATATTAAATCTCTTGAACCTTACCACTCCTACTTTAAGTTTATCTACTTCTCTATGTCCTTCCCCTTATTTCCTTCAATCTCTCTCTTCTTTCCTTCTCTACCACACTATATTTCCTTCTTTTTCGCCTTTTTCTGCCTCATTCTATTCCCTTTTCTCCCTCGTTCTTTTCTCTCAATTTCGCTGTCTCTCTGATTTCTCTCTCCCTCTCCACTTCTGATTCTCCCACACTGTCCATTTCCTGTTGCAATGTGTAACTCAAATCCAAGCTCTTACATACATACATACATACATACATACACACATAGTTTCAATAATCATTTATCAAGTATACGCAGCGTCAAACATAAAAATTCTTCGCATTTGATTTCAGTTCCACAGCACTAAGCCGAAACGTTTCATCTTGCTGGACACTCGATGTCACTTGTCGGTGAAACAATATACTCGCACTCGGACTTTAATTAGTTTTCGCTCAGTGCGTTTGGCTGTTGGCAAATTTGAAATTGAGTATTTCTCACGTTTCCATTGAGTTCATAAATTGCGAATAGTTGTTGTCAGGCAACAAGCAACGCACATTTTTCAATTGAATGCTTTGCGCCAAAAACTTTCGAAAATGTTGGCAATTTATTGAGACAAAGCTGACACTCGATATATATTTAATATATATATATACATTTATATAGAGATTTTTAATTTGGTCGACGGTCTACGGTTACATGTGATATATGAGTGCAAGCGAGTGTCATAACACATACATACAATAAATCGCAAAAAGGCGTCATTAGAAACGGCTGGCCTTTATTTATGTGACCTGTAAGCCAAAAGGCAATCAGACACAGCCTGCGCCAGCCAGTCAGACATTTGGCAAATTTATGCAACAGCCCTCGAGCTGGGCGCTAAATTATTTTTTAATTTCCCTGGGCTGAAGCCTAAGAAAACTTTCTTTTTTATTTTATATCATTTCTTTTTTTTTTTGCTTCTTTCTTGGTTCGAAAACAAGAGGCCAACATAATAATCAAGTCAATAAAAAAGCCATAAAAAACGAAAATATCGCAAAAGGCCAAGGCGCTTGGCATGTCCAAGTCTATTTGTCTAGTTTTGTGTGTGTGTGTGTGGCTATTGTGGCATGCCCAACACATTTACACACACATATACAGAGAACAGGACATGCCATAGACAAATATCAGACAAGTCAAGACAAGACAAGACAAGGGCAATACGCAGAACWTGTAGAACGATAAAGCAGGCAATAAAAACCACTGAGCATAATAAAAATTACATTTTATTTTATTTCTGTGTGTTCTGTGGTTATTATTGTTGTTGTTGTTGCTGCTCTTGTTGTTGTTGTTGTTGTTGTTGTTGTTGTCTACAACATTTTTAAATACATAGTCAAAGGCACGCACATCAACAGGCTAAGTTCCTTTGGCAGGCGTCGCCCTCGCCTATGCTCACAAATTACGCCAAGATATTTCTGGCCATAGATTGCGTGGGCAGCAGCAACAACAACAACAACAATAACAACAGGAATACATTGATGCCGCATACTTTGAATAATGTGACCCACGACTCTGGCCAACAAATAATGACTCCCCGGTGTCTCTGTCTGTCTCCGTTAGCCAAGTGACCAAGTACTACGATTACAATTTGTGGACATTTAACTGTTTCTAATAATTATGTAAATGTGTCTCACTGTCGCTGTCGCAGCATCCAACTTTCGTTGCTCATCTCCCTCTCTCCTCCCTCTCTCCCTCTCTCTCTTTCGCTCACTGTCCTCTCTTCGCCCAGCTCAATTATGTGCCGCATATAATCAAGTGGACCCGACCCCATAAAAAGCACTCAACAACTGGGACATTATCAAATTTAATGATGCTTCTTTCTCAGCTGGGAATTGTCAAGACTCCGCCTTCTATCTCTCTCCCTCTCTCCCTTCTCTTACACTGTTTTTTGTTTACTACTTCAACTTGACAAATTGTTAATTATTTCAATTTAATGAACTTTTTATTTCATGTCATTCACATTTCACCTGTTATATATGTATATATGTATTTTCTTAATTTTTTTCTTATATGTATTTATTTAAACAAATATTTATAAACAAGTATTAGTCGTATTAGTTAGTGATGGTTTTTTTTTT